CATGCTGAAATAAGAAGAATTTGAGTGATAATTTAAGCATTAGAAGTGATGAGAAACTAACCCTTCAAAAAGAAGAAAAAGACGGGAATAAGAAAGATTACCAAAACAAGGTGTCGTCTCTTACTTTGCCGTCGCCGTCACGGGGAGTTTTGCCATCGCCATCGCCATCGCCATCGCCGCCTCGCCGGCATTGGGGGTGCCGAAGGAGAGAGAGTGAGAAAGCGGCGGCGGTCTAGGGTATGAAGAGAGTGAGAAAGGGCTTTGTTTTCCTGTTATATTGATGACCCGATTTTTTCATAATCCGCCTTCGACCCAAATTTCGACCCACGAACGGTGAAAAACGCCTTGTTTCAAAAAATTAAAAAATACCCCCTACCTATTTTCTAAAAAGTCTGTTTTAAGCCTCCTTTTTTTCAAATTGATGTTTAGAAAAGACTTTAATTATTTTGTCTAAATACATTTTAAACTCTAAACAGACTTTTTAGCCTTAAAAATCTTTTTAAAACTCTTGTCCAAATGGAGCCTAAGCTACAAAAGGATTCCGGAACTACGAATTCTATAAATACCGAATCATATATAATTCTAAGCAAGAAAGAGAGAAGAAATAAGATAACCAGAGAAACTGTTCGAAGTGAAATAAGAGAAATAAACATGGATAGTGTTAAATGAATAAAAGAAAGAAAAATGACCTCATGTTCCCTTGCCCCACATGGATAGAAGGAAACACTTGAACCCAACATATATACCCCATGTGCTACTCCCCTCATTATCAATTGGTTTTGAGGTGGAACCACATGTGGGCTTATATTTGGGCCTTCAAGGTGGTATCAGAGTGGGTTTTAATCCGCGGACCTGTGGGACTTGCGGGGCGAGGTGGACTGATCCAGATTGGGTCTTGAAACTTTGACTAACCACGGAAGAAATCCAGGGTTTGACTTTGAAGTTTGACTGGTTCGACAGGCGACTGTTTATCCGGAAAAATAACCGATCACAAGACTGAAAAAAAATATACAAAATTACCCGTCCAAGCCCAATGGGTTTGAGAGGGGCGTGTTAAATGAATAAAAGAAAGAAAATGGTCTCATATTTCCTTGTCCCACATGGATGGAAGGAAAAATTTAAACCCAACATATATAACTCATGTGCTACTTCCCTCATTACCAATTGGTTTTGAGGTGGAACCACATGTGGACTTATATTTGGGCCTTCAAGATCATGAGCAACTGATGCTTGTTTGTTGTTTGATAAAATGCCAAAGAGAACTTTGAATATTTTTTTTCCTTCAGTAAGTGCCTTGTGTTTTTTTTTCACAATTTTCTTGTTTGGGTATTTACTATACAGTGAAGCAGTTTGTGGCTTTGCAACAATTCAAGCAAGTTCGGCTCAAACTTTTCATTGTTAAACCAGTTAATGTAGAAGTGTGATATTTGAATTGGTCATTATCATATAACCTTGTAATAACAGAGGCTATAAACCGTGAATAAATCATTTATAGAATAACGCAACTTTCGTAGACAATTGATGGATGCTAGAATTCTAGATGAGTACAAACAAATAAAATGATGAACAGAAGTTACAAAACAAAAATAGTACATGGGTACTTCTGCTATATTTGTTTTTGCAGAAGATCGTAGCAGAGTACGGCTAAAGCAAGAGAATTTAATAAAAGAAAATGGCAGTGGCTATTTTCAATCTTTCTCTAACGTTGACAAAAAAGTTAAAAGAAAAAAAAATTGTTGAAGCATAGAAAGAGATAGAAAACGCTGGATGATGTTAAAAAAAGATGGAGGGGTAGTTAAGTTTAATTTTTATACATTTATCTATTTTTCATAATAGTAATCAAAAGTATAACATGGCACAACTTAAATCATTTACGGAATATAATTTCAATTTAGATTACTTATGGAAATAATTTTACAGATAAGGTTATTTGAGAAAAAATCTCATCAAAGTGTATAATTAGACTCTTTGTCCCCAAACCCTCTCCTCTCTGGTCCTCTCTAGCCGCCTCCTCTACCTCAAACCCTAAACAAAACAATCTTTCCCCATCTTTCCGCCATGAAAGGATGGGGGAAATAATTTTATAGATATCTTTATTTTTTTTTTTTGTGTTTTAGTTTAGTTTTAATAAACCGTTTGTAGATTATAATCTACAGTATGACGGCAACATCTTTATCGATGTTTGCAGGTGTGGCGGTGGCATCCTTGTTGACGTTTGCTAGTATGGCGGCGGTTTCACCAGTGATGTATGCAGGTACGGCGACGACGGTTTCGTTGAAGATGTTCGTTGGTTTGGCGGTCTTAGAAGATTCAGTCATAGTAGATCTAATTATTAGATTTACGATTTGGGGGTTTAAACCAAATGTTAGTATTGTATTCTTGACCGGATTAAAAGACTGGCACTAGTACAATCATCATTTTATGGGATAGATCAATATATGGGCAATTTATTGTGTGCACCCGGGGGCACCATACTCCCCCTCTTATTTTTTGCACTACTAGTCTTTATTGTACTTTTTTACTTTTTCTAATAATCTTTTTATTATTTGCAAATTTAGTCTCTGTCACTTTTTTCTCTCTCTTCTAAAAAAACATCTCTAATATTTAAACGATCACATCTCTCAATCCGTGAAGAATTAGAGAACGTGTTACACATGAATTTTATTGTACTCGTCGAGATCTATCCAACAAGATCCATGTCGAATATTTTTTTTGAGTTTAAAAATGACTAAATTTCGATAGACAGAATAAGATGGATATCTAGTTTAGAAAGATGGATAACCAGTTTAGTTTAGATTAACATTCTTGTATTGCATATATCTCTTGATCCGTAAAGAATTAGAATACGAATTATGCATGAAATTTATAGTGCTCGACAAAATCTATCCGATAAGATCCATGTTGGATATTTTTTTTGAATTTTAAATGCATTTAAATTTTACGGGTAGAAATAAAGAAATGTGTTTTTCGTTGTTCTTTGAAAAATGGTTATCCGTTGTGTTCCTACTGATTATCCAACCGGTTTGGACTGATTATCCATTCTATTTGTACTTGTGATCCAATCATATTTTTGACATTCACTTTTCAAAACAAAAAAAAAGAAAGAAAGAAAAAAAGATTGGATAAGCATTGTAAACAATTTGGATAATCAATAGAAAATAATTGGATAATCAGTGCAACACATTGGATAATCAGTACAAAAAAGTTTGACAATCATTTTCATAAAAGAACAAGGAAAAAAATACTGGATAACCACCACAAAGAAGTTGGATAATCAATATAAACACATTGGATATCCAGTTTAAGAAGACGGATAACCAACTTATTTTACATTCATATTGTTGTGTTCCTTATATCTTTTGATCTGTAAAGAATTATAACACGAATTATATATGAAATTTATAGTGCTCGACGAGATCTATTCAATAAGATCAATGTTGAATATTTCTTTTGAACTTTAAACGCATTTAAATATTATGGGCAGAAATGAATATCCAGTGCGTACAAACAAGTTAGATAGGCATACAAACCAAATGGATGGATATCTAGTACAAACAAGTTGGATAGGCATACAAACCAAATGGATGGATATCCAGTACAAGAGAGTTGGATATCCAGCACAAACAAGTTGGATATGTATACAAACCCATTGGATTACAACTACAAAACAAGTTGGATAAGCATATAAACCAAATGGATGGATATCCAGTACAAGCGAGTTGGATATCAGTATAAACGAAATAGATATCCAGTACAAACAAGTGGGATATCCATTGCAAACAAGTTTGATAGGCATACAAACCAAATGTGCGGATATCTAGTACAAACAAGTTGGATAACTAGTTCAAATTGGTTGGATAATCAGCATAAATACAATGGATAACCAATTCAAAATGAATTGGGTTATCCATCTTTCTAAACTAGATATCCATCTTATTCTGCCCATCGAAATTTAGTCATTTTTAAACTCGAAAAAATATTCGACATGGATCTTGTTGGATAGATCTCGACGAGTACTATAATTTTCATGCATAACACGTTTTCTAATTCTTCACGGATTGAGAGATATGGTCGTTTAAAGATTAGAGATGTTTTTTAAAGGAGAGAAAAAAAATCAAATGGACTAAACCTGTAAATTATAGGATGTTATTTAGAAAAGTTGAAAAAGGTGTAGTAAGGACTAGTAGTGTGAAAAATAGGAGGGGGAGTATGGTGTCCCCGTGTATACTGGATAGAGAATCAATATATGTTTATCCATGTAATAAAACACAACTATCGCATTATGACTCTTTGTAAAATATATTTTTATGGCTGTATCTTATTTTTATTAGTCGCTTCTAGGCGATTTCTAGCAAATTAATGCATTTATTTTTTATTTAAAAAAAATAAAAAAATGAATGATGCTTTTAAGCTGTGTTTTCAAAATCGGACCGGCCCCGGCGGTCTAACCGGTTAGCCTGGGAACCGAAAGCCTCACCCGTCCGGTTTTCATAAAAACCGGATTCTCTATAACTCGGTCAAACCCGGACAAAATCACGGTTTGATCGAAAACCGGTACCGATTGAACCGATTTTTGCATATATTTTTTAAAAAATTAATTTTTAAATATTTTTTAAATATTATTTTAACCGATTTTCACTGGTTTCGAGGAACAAACTAACCCGTTAACCCGATAAATCCACCAATCCGGTTACACTAACGGTTCACCTTCCCGTCTGGTTTTGAAAATATAGCTTTTAAGTGACTTCACAAACAAGTTGCACTCGAAGACAATGTATCCAACCATACTACCGACCTGCTTACAATTTTTAATTTGAACAAATTGGTGGTTTGGTTTGAACACACAATTTTTGTTTAAACGTATTAATTAGCTCTTAATTAATTAAGGCTTAAGCATATTGATTCATCCATGCCATATGTATAAGAGTGGCATGATGGCTGTATATCAATTCATATAATTTAAACTAGAAATTAAACCATATATATATTCCATCTACAATATGTTTAACAGAGGCTCTATTTCAAAATGGCCTTTCCGGAGACTCCTAGGAAGTGGAGATCATGATCCAAAACAAACCTCTGTTGTTGTTAAGCCGAGAAAAACCGATGTTTGTCTTCCTCGGCCGACGAACACTAAGCAAAAGGCCGCAGGTGTTGTCAGAGAGGAGAGAGATGGGAATATGGTGATCTTGTCCGGCACAGGCGCTGCCGCCGCTGCCGCTACGGTGGCGGCTGCTGATGTTGCGGGTGGTATTTTGACTGGGAAGGCAGAAAAACCTGGCAAGATGGATGGTAGCGCTTGTGGAGGTGGGTATGGTGGTGATTATAAAGTAGCTGTTGGCGGTAGTGGTGGGGGCGGCGGGGATAGCCATGGTGGTAGTTCTGATGGTGGTGGGGCCAACCAGGTGAGTCTTCCTGGAGGCGGTGATGGTGGCGGAGAGGGGGGGTTTTGGGCCGATTTCTTTGCCGATTGTGGTGGAGGTGGTTGCGGTGGCGGTTGCGGTGGTAGTTGCGGTGGTTGAAGACTTTTATTATGTCGTCATGACCTGAATATCCTGTAGTGTAGAATATAGTATGTATTTTGTTGAAGTTTTGCCCTTCAATTTGTTTTTATTATACATAACAATAATACATTGTACATGTTTGTTTTGGGTGTAAATGATTAATTAGTGGAAGTGACGCATACACAATGTGGAATATTTAAAGTTTAGGCTTTATTAATCTTCTCTCTAATAATCACGCAACTACTACTATATTCTATCAGTGTTTTGCAAAGATTGTGCGTATGGTGAAGCACAATTGTTATACATAATTATTAAGTTTATGTAGCATTAAGAGTAATTTCTAAAAACAGAGGGAGTATTCTTAAGTACAGATCTCAAGCATGGATATACTTATTGCACCATGCATTATTAATTAAACATGTTGAGGTATATTTTTTCCCCTTCTTGAAATGATTATCTAATATAAAATTTTATTTTTACTTCAATGTACTAAAGCAAAGCTTAAAATATTTTTTTGGACAAAGGGATTATATATTTTATCCCCTCCTTTTCTCCCCAATAAAAAGAAAAAGAAAGAAGACAAGCCTAATTCATCACTGCACTAGCCTATTATAATCTATGTTTTATTTTCAAAATAATGTACTACACATGAAAGTAAAGTACTAACGTGGTTTTGAAACGATGACATATTCATCAATCTATTTATCGATGACGACAATTGTCACCCTCTTTCCTCCTTTTTTGACTTTATATTTGTTTGATTTAGGGTGAAGATTTTCTATTGCACATGTTTTTTTTGCGGATATGTTGATCTTTTCCTTTGATGATAATTTTAATCAGTATGAAATTTGCAAAAATCTCATAAACACAAATTGGGTTCAATTCCATTTTCAATATTTTATAATACTAATAACAAATAATTAGTTTTGAGTTTGGACTCTTCAGGTTCTTTCTCTTCCCTTTTTTTTGTTGCATCTTTTTAATTGTGTGTAGGGATTGTGGAATGCATTTGTCATGATTCATTGATCCATTGTTGGATCTTTTACTAAGTTTTGTATTGTGGTTGCTCTGTTTCAGTTAAATAGAAAATCAAAGAGAAACAGATATACACATGTAGTGCTGGGAAGAAGAGGGTAAATCGGTATCGATTTAATAGTTTCGGTAAGCTATTCTCTACGTACTTCTATGTCCTTATAATGTCGAGGTGAAATTTGATGCTCAAATTCAATAAAGTTTGTTTTATGAATCCATTCGTTCTTTCTCTTTCTCTTTTCTTCCACAGTTAATTTTGTATTTATCGTATTACTTTTTATGAATGTCTTAGCATGACGAATTGAAAATTTTAGGTTAGCTCGTGGAGTTTGATGGAAATAAGTTGGTTCTTGCTACCAAGGAGGGGTTTGAATTATGATGAGATATAAGGCCAAAAAGAGTGAAGCTTCGAAAGAGAATTTGTTAGCCTTTTCAAGTTGATTAAGGATGTTCTAGCTAGGGCTGGTCTGGTCATTGCTTCAGACCCTTTTGTGGACTATTTGTTTTTTGTTACTTATAAATATAGCTGGTCTCCCTACATGGATAGGGTCATTAAAAAGGCACGACCTTCTACAAACCAAATCCTAAAAAGACTCCTATAAATTTTGAATCTTAATTGGCCTATTATATCATAGATGATAAATGATGTATTTACAAAACCAAATAAAAAACAACCTCTCAAAATTTTAAATTTTAAAACTTGCCTCAAAAGATAGATAAAGTCTTAATATTAAGATACCATTTTTTGTTTGAAAATGAATAAGATAAATGTAAAATGATTTGCTAAAGTAAATATATTTCTTCCTTGATCCCTTTATGTAATTTTTATATTTCTTGGTCGCAAAATTTATTCTACTTTTCAATTTCTCCATTGCTTAATTTTCTAAAATACCCATTCGCTCCAAAAAAATAGTCCACATCGACTTTTGAGTTTTGTACTAAAAATAAAATAAACATCAAAACTTAATATGAACTATCTTTTTAGGACAGAGGGAGTAATAATTATGAATTTAATAACAGAATCAATTTAAAAAAATTTACTATATCATTAATTTGCATACAAAAATTATCATCAATTACTGAAAATCATTTAAATTTTTAATGTAAACCATAAGTATAATCATATTAATTGTTATTGTTTTATAATTTAATGGTACAAAAAGAATAGGTTAACGTATCCAAAAATTAAGAACATTATTTATACAACTAAAAAGTAATCAATTTATAAAAGTTATCCATGATTAAAATGCCGCGCAACGCGTGGGCACAATACTAATAAAAAGAAAAAGAAAGAAGACAATCCTAATTCATCGCTGCAATAGCCTATTATAATCTATGTTTTATTTTATTATTGAAGTGCTAGGGTTCTCTCCCGGGGAGTTCCTCTGAGCGAAGGATCTCGACAATTAGGGTTCTTCGAAGCTAGGGTCTCCACCATTAAAACACAACCATCTCCTCCAACCATCTATCTCTTGTTATAATCCATCCTCTCTTTGAGTCTGCACGCACTTCTTCTGTTTCACCATCTCATACAAAAACTTTTTCAACATAAAAGCATAAAATTGGTTTTGTGCACGTTTCTCTGTTTGTTGGTTTTAATTTTTTTTGGTGCAGGAAAGCGTCAGTTGCCTGATTCATCCTGCGTTGATTGTTGCCATCAAAGTTTCGGCTATGTATTTTCAGACCTGGGAATGGATATGTCCATCGAAGACCCGTTCTCAAAGCTTTCGCTTGGACAGAGGGAATTGAAAGTTATAGTTCCTGGCGATGATGCATCTCCCGAGTTCGATCCGGGAAGGGCTTTGGTTGGTCGTCTGGTCTCCGGTAAGGTATTGGGACACAACACTATTGTTCAGAGGTTGAAGGGTTTTTGGTCTCTTAAGGACAATCTCACCACCCATGCATTGGGACATAACACGATCTTGTTCTGCTTCAACAGTATGACGGATAAGAAACGGGTTATGGTGGGTGCTCCTTGGTTTATGGAAGATCATCTCCTAATTCTGAGCGAGGACACGGCTGATGTCATTGCCAAGAGACAAGTTTTCACGCACTCTCCTCTCTGGATTCAATTACATGGCCTCCCCGTTGGCCTCATGTTGAAGAAATTTGCAGCGACTGCGGGAGACAACATCGGCCAATTCATTGAGGTGTACTGTGACAGCGAGGGTTCCTGTATTGGCCGGTTTCTGAGAATCAAGGTGTTAGTCGATATCAGGCTGCCTTTGATGAGAGCTATTACTGTCAGCCATAAGGGTCAACTGCTCAAAATTCAAATTCAGTATGAATGGGTGTCGGACTTCTGTTACTTTTGTGGTGTCATCGGGCACGAAAAATCCAGCTGTGATGCTAAAATCAACACTCCAAATGCTGCTTCGAAGCCACTCGAATATGGCCCTCAGCTGATGGCTGATCCAGCGAGCAATCCATTCCCGGAGCGACACTTCCAGCGACGTCGAAGTGAAGGCGATTCTTTTTCTGCCTACCCGCAACCAAATCCTACCACAAAATCTCCCCCTCCCCCTCCTCCCCCACCCCCAAAGCCTATTTCCTCCATCACAGGCTAGCAAGTAACCATTGAAACCTCTGAAAACCTTAACACTTCCACCCCGCTCACTTACAACGCCGCACTTCTCACCCAAAACTCCCCAACTTTCACCAGTGACCGTAGCATCCAGCCATATATGCCATTCCAGGTCCCCATGGTCTCTCGCCGTAGCTACATGCCTCCCATTCGATTGGCTCAAAACCCCTCTATCCCTTCCCATTACTTCTACCCGGCAGATGAGGCCAAAAGACTATCGGAGGCTTACTCGGAGAAAAATAAGAGGAAGCATAACCTCGTTTATTATGAGGATGGCTCAATCTTGGCTTATCTCCCACCAACTCTCAACCCCGCCAAAACTCTTGAGGAGAACCTTAGCCTTGGCTCTCCTCCTCATGTCCAACTTCAGTTATCTCAGAATGCAACAGGAGTTGACTTAATCGCTCTTACTCAAACACAAGGGGCGGAGGATCTTCAATCCGGAGAAGTTGAACAGTCTCTTACCTCTGAGCACCAAAATGCACCACCTATTATTCAGCTCCCCCCTTCACCGCCCACCTCGCCTAAAAAACCATTCTCACCATCCCAAACATCTCAACCAGAACCAACAATCCATAACCCCCCCCCCTCCCCGATCCTTCCCTCGAGCCCTTTCCTGGTAAACGTGGAGATGCATGCGGACTCCCCATTCAAGAAAATGGAAAGGAAAGTGATGATTCAGCGCCGTCGTAATTACATCTCTTCGACCTCTGATGGCAAAGGGGCAAGATCTACTAAACGAAAACTCTTGGTTGAAGATGAGTTCTTAGAGACTATTCCAGTGGAGGTGATTACCACAAAGTCCAGGGTTGAGCTTCTGTCCGACGAAGATCCGACTCTAATGCACACTACATCAACGGCAGGGAGTGGCAACACTAGCCACCCCGGCCGACAGCCATGAGTATCTTAAGCTGGAACTGCCGAGGGCTTGGGAACCCCCGGACAGTGAGAGAGTTGCGGAGAATGATCCGTGAAAAGTCACCCCTTTTAGTTTTCTTTCCGAAACAAAATGTAACTCTTCAGTTATAGATACTTTTAAAGTTTTTGGTGGTTATTTTGGTGTTTCTATTAAGTCCATTGGTAACTCGGGGGGTCTAGCATTTTTATGGAGGAAGGACCTCCAGGTGCACGTTAAAGCTTTTTCTCGTCGTTACTTTGATGCGGAAGCAGTATTTATGGGTGTGACTGTTCGTGTTACTGGTTATTATGGTCAGCCTGATACCTCACTTCGTCGTTCAGCTTGGGAAAATTTCGCAACCTACTTAGGTCAATCGCCCCTTCCATGGATCAGTTTTGGGGACTTCAACGAAGTTATCACCCATTCAGAATATCAGAGTAATCGACGTCGTCCGGAATGGCAGCTTGAGGCGTTTCGGCGAGCGTTGGATCGTTGTGGCCTCTTCGATCTCGGGTATAAGGGCGACTGTTACACATGGTGTCGGACGGCGGTGGCTCCATTTACGCAAAGGGCCCGGCTAGATCGAGCACTTTGCAATCAAGCCTGGCGACAATGCTTCCTTTGGAATAGTGTGTGTCATATACCAACACATGTTTCCGATCATCAAGCTCTGCACATTCAATTTCGGAAAAGTTTATCGGGACTAAACCGGGGAAGGAAGTTGAAGTTGTTTCACTTCGAGGCCTGCTGGATCAAATCATCTGAATGCGAGAGGATCATCCGAGAGAGCTGGGATGCGGAGCCTGAAATAGTGTTGGGGAAGCTAAAATCATGTGAGATAGGGCTGCTCAACTGGAGCAAGAATACTATCGGAAATATCCCAAAAAAGATCGAAGCTGCCAAGAAAGAGCTGCATCAACTAAAAGAGGGAACAATAACGGAGACCACAAAAGTCAGAATAACGGAGCTCACGGAGAAGCTTGATGACTTGCTGGATCAAGAGGACATTAAGTGGAAGCAGCGAGCCAAACAACACTGGTTGAGGGAAGGGGACAGAAACACGAGCTTCTTTCATGCGCAGGCATCGAAGCGCAAAAAGACTAATCATATTTCTGAGCTTCGGGATGACACAGGAACCTTACAAAGCTCCCCAGATGCAATCGAGAGGATCATCACGGAATATTTCATGGAAATTTTTATAGCATCCTCTCCATGTGAATCGGATCTCCATCAGGCCCTTAGCCGGATACGTCCCAAAGTCAACGCAGAAATGAATCAACGACTGTCGCGATCCTTTACCGCCGCAGAGGTAAAATGTGTCGTTAAATCCATGCATCCTTTTAAATCACCTAGTCCGGATGGGCTCAGCCCGGTTTTTTACCAAAAATTTTGGCTTATAGTTGGTAGTGATATTTTAGAGTTTGTTTTACAATTTTTAAATAATGGGTCGTTTGTAAACCGCACAAACTACACACACATAGTCCTCATCCCGAAAGTCGAGAACCCAGAAAAAATGACACAGTTTCGCCCTATTAGCTTGTGTAATGTGGTCTATAAGATTGCCTCTAAATGCCTTGCAAATAGACTTCGTAATATTTTACCTAGTGTTATTTCGGATTCTCAATCTGCTTTTATTCCTGGGCGCTTGATTACTGACAATGTTTTACTTGCTTATGAGACTCATCATTTCATGAAAAGGAAGACCACAGGGAAGAAAGGGCTGATGTCAGTCAAGCTAGATATGAGCCAAAGCGTTTGATCGAGTGGAATGGCGCTTTGTTGGGGATGTAATGAAGGCTCTCGGTTTTCTGGATATTTTTGTGGAGAAAATTAAAAAGTGTATAATGACCCCAACATTTTCTTTTTTGCTAAATGGTTGTCAGTTTGGTTCAGTCAATCCGGAGAGAGGATTACAGCAAGGAGATCCCCTATCCCCTTACCTTTTTATTATTTGCTCGGAGGTCTTCTCTCTCATCTTGCAGGACCTACAAGCAGCAGGACGTCTGCATGGGGTGGGCGTTGCTGATTCGGCTCCATCCATCTCGCACCTCTTTTTTGCAGATGATACTCTCTTATTTGGAGAAGCCACACAAGCAGAGGCACGCAGTCTAAAGTTTGCCATTTCACTCTACGAATCCGTGTCAGGGCAACGGATTAACTACGATAAATCTGGCATATATTTCAGCCCCAACACAAAACAATCGGAAATAGCTGCAATCTGTTCGAAGCTCGAAATACCTCAGGTTGATGGACACGGCAAATACTTAGGCCTCCCAACATTCATTGGACGGACAAGCGAGATGTTTTCGGTGAACTGAAGGATAGAGTTTGAAGGAAAATACAAGGATGAAAGGAGAAGAACCTCACCAAGGCGGGCAAAGAGGTTCTTATTAAATCTGTCATTCAATCAATCCCGATTTATTCTATGTCATGTTTCAGGATCCCGAATAATATATTAGAGGAGATCGAGAGCATGGTGGCAAACTACTGGTGGGGAGAAAAGGAGGGATCACATAAATTGCATTGGTTGTCATGGGATAAATTAGCTCCGAGCAAAGATCAGGGAAGCCTAGGATTTAGAAATCTCTATGCTTTTAATTTGGCAATGCTAGCTAAACAAGCCTGGAGATTGATAACAAACCCAGGTTCACTCCTATCCAGGGTTTTCAAGGCCAAATATTATAGGGAATCGAGTTTCTTTGAGGCTGAACTTGGCACCAATCCATCATGGTCTTGGCGAAGTATTTTGGAGAGTAGAAAGGTGCTACAATTGGGGAGCTACAAGTCGATTAGATCAGGGCGCCAAACCCGCATTTGGTTAGACCCTTGGCTCCCAGGAAACGCGAACTTTATGATTTACAGCCCCTGCGCCTTTCTTGACCCAATGGCTTGTGTTGCAGAGTTGATAGACGGAATCTCTGGAACATGGAACTATCACCTAGTTCGGTCTATCTTCTCCCAGGAGGAGGCGGGCTGAATCATAGAACTTATCCCGGGTCAGCAAAATCAGGCGGATGTTTGGAGTTGGTCTCACGTAAAGAACAGGAAATACTCGGTCCGTTCGGCGTACCATGCAATTCTGACAGCGGATTTCTCACCGATCTCAGTTGCGCCACTAATTCATCAGACAGGAACACCGCAACTCTGGAAACGTCTTTGGCGCCTGAAAGTGCAACCTCGGCTACGCCATTTCCTGTGGACTGCTTGTAATGGCACTTTACCCTCGCCGGAAAACCTCGCCCGAAGACACGTCCCTCAGTCAGATGTTTGTATAAATTGTGGCGCTCAGGATATTTCGATGAAACATTTGTTCTTTACCTGCAATTTTGCGTCTGAGGTTTGGAGACTTGCAAGCTTGAACATGCAAATAGACAACTTGGAAAAAGACGATGGAGGGGAATGGATTCGATCGATGATCCTCGAGTTAGATGCCAAGGATGCTGAACTTGCTGCTACCATCCTCAACTGCATCTGGTTCCGACGCAATAAGGCTGTTCACGATCTTGAAGAGCTTAGTCCCACGGCTACGGCTCTGATTGTTGAAAGCATGCGGCGTTCCTTCCTTCAAGCCCATAGGTGGCCAGAACGTATGTCTTCTCAGCTACAATCGAATGCAATCTTTGGCTGTCCAGCATCGGGGCAGCGAATCTGGTTTGATGGAGCCATCTCCCGCCTGTTTCATTGTGCTGGTGTGGGAGTTTGGTATGAGGATGCTCAGGGCTCTCTCGTAGAAGGGTGGGCAAAGAAGTTTCAGGGGATAACAGACCCTGAAGTTTCAGAAACGCTTGCATTAAGGGAAGCTCTCCTCCTTGCAGCAAAGTACAATCTAGCAAATTTTGCAGTTATGAGAGATACTATCAATGTCATCTTATCCGCGCAGGAGGTAGTCGTAGCCCCGGAGAACTTTGATCCAGTCATGGAATCTGTTCGTCAGTTAATCAACACTACTCAACCTTTGGGTATTTTTTGGTCGCAAAGATGTAATAATAGGATAGCACACAAACTTGCGGCTTTAGCAAAGAGCAGTGACTCTGATTGTATCATTTGGTCGCATGTCCCGACGACCATCAATCAATCGCAGTTGGACGATTTCTAACATTTATGAATGAAACTTTTTCAAAAAAAAATAAAAAAAAAAAAGAAAAATGCTTGGACGAGAAAGGGCATAAAGAAATAGAAGATTCTAGAATTAGTTTAACCAGTACAGAACCAGCTGGGCCTCAGAGTAAATCTCTACCGTTCATTTTCTTGATCTCCAAATAAAGCCTCAGGAAGTCCCCACACAAGGAAACCCTCTCTCTCCCACACAGCCCTCTCAGCAAGCATCGTCCGCTCGTTTTCTCGGCGGCCGATTTCGCGAGTGAATACAGTCTTTCGCCGCCGTTCACCGCCGTTCTCACTGAGGGTTCTACAAGGTATCCTCCCGTCTACTTTGGGCTCTATTTTTGATTTTGATTTTGGTTTTGATTTCTCCCTGTAGCGTTAGATCGCTGAACTTTTCTGTGGTGTATCAGATCGGCGAAGATGTTTGGGAGGCCGCCGAAAAAGAGTGATAACTCCAAGTACTATGAGATTTTAGGGGTATCGAAGAATGCATCCCAAGATGATCTCAAGAAGGCTTACCGTAAAGCTGCCATTAAGAACCATCCTGACAAGGGCGGGGATCCAGAAAAGGTGAAGCCTTTTTTTCCATTTTCTTCCTTGTTTCTATTCACGCCGTATATCATATATAGTTTGTAGATCGGTCTTTCCATGGTATTCTAGCCGGCTTATCCTTTTTCGGTCGTATAATCTTTTTAACTTCAATTAAATTATCTATGAGTTTTACTTTTATTTGGTTTAACCAGAGGATTTTGTTGTCACTTGTGAGGAATTCGACCCTTTCTTTTTGTGCGCGCGCGCGCGCGCGTGTGATCCGTAAAAAGATTTGGACTTTCCTAGTATGTTCACAAGGATTGTTCTTCCCTATGGCAATATTGGCCATTTGCATGGGTGTTGATAGTACTGATAGCGTTCATTTATTCAGGGCACTTAGTGTTTTGCTTGTGGGGTTCTTCTGAAATGTATTCTTCTTGTTTTGGGGGTGGTACCTGTTTTCCTTTGTAATTAATTTGTGTTACTTGGTCCTTTTAGTTTAAGGAGCTCGCCCAGGCCTATGAGGTACTTAGTGATCCCGAGAAGCGGGAAATCTATGATCAGTATGGTGAGGATGCACTGAAAGAAGGAATGGGTCCTGGAGCTGGTGGTCATGACCCATTTGACATTTTCCAGTCATTCTTTGGTGGTGGTAGCCCATTTGGTGGTAAGTTTTACTGTTTTGTGAGACTAACTTCACCAGCTAGTTGTTAACTCTACCTTGCAAACATTATCTGAATTGTTACCATGGTAAGGTGGAAGCAGCAGAGGTCGGAGACAAAGGAGGGGAGAGGATGTTATTCATCCTCTCAAGGTTTCTTTGGAGGACCTCTATAATGGAACCTCAAAGAAACTGTCACTCTCGCGGAATGTTTTGTGTCCCAAGTGCAAGGGGTCAGTGCTCTTTACTAATGTTGATCTTATGTGTTTACTGTTTGGAGGTGGTTCTAATGTGGCTATGATGTACTGAATTTCAGGAAAGGGTCCAAGTCTGGTGCTTCAATGAAATGTTCTGGTTGTCAAGGATCTGGAATGAAAGTTTCAATAAGACAGCTCGGCCCTTCCATGATCCAGCAGATGCAGCATCCATGTAATGAGTGTAAAGGGACTGGTGAAACTATTAATGACAAGGACCGATGCACACACTGCAAGGGAGAGAAGGTTGTGCAGGAAAAGAAGGTGTTAGAAGTTGTTGTAGAGAAGGGTATGCAGAATGGTCAAAAGATCACATTCCCTGGTGAAGCTGATGAAGCAGTAAGTCCAAGTTCCCCTTTTTTCTACAGTTTCCTGTGTCTGCTTTTCTAATATTACTAACCATTTACTATCTCGATGGCTCGCGGGGAATGTTATTTTTGCAGCCTGACACAGTTACAGGGGACATAGTCTTTGTTCTACAACAGAGAGAGCACCCTAAGTTCAAACGCAAGCATGATGACCTTTTCTATGAACACACTTTGTCATTAACTGAGGCTCTATGTGGCTTCCAATTCGTCTTGACTCATTTAGATGGCAGGCAGCTTCTCATTAAGTCACAACCTGGAGAAGTGATAAAGCCTGGTAAAGCAGCACTCAACATTCACATTGAAATATTATTTTGATTGCATAATACATTTACAATTTGATTTGCCAATAGTGCTTGTTAAGATCTCTATATCATGTTCGGCAATAATATTAGTTCTGAGTACTCATTTTCTCTGGGTTACGTTACAGATCAGTTTAAGGCTATAAATGATGAAGGGATGGTGATGTATCAGAGGCCATTTATGAGGGGCAAATTGTATATTCACTTCACTGTAGAATTCCCCGACTCCCTGGACCCAAATCAATGCAAGGCTCTTGAAAGTGTTTTGCCTCCGAAGACTGCAAAACAAATCTCCGACATGGAGTTGGATGAGTGTGAGGAGACTACACTTCACGATGTTAATATTGAGGAGGAGATGCGTAGAAGGCAACACCAAGCAGCCCAAGAGGCATATGATGAAGATGACGATATGCATGGTGGTGCCCAGAGAGTCCAATGTGCTCAGCAGTAAGTTGATCGAGCTGGTAAACAAAATTGGATAAATGATTTTCCTTGCGATGAACAACCAATGAATGCTATTTAAGGTTTCGTAGGGCTGTGAAGGCCGAGGCAACTACTCTCTCTATGTGATGTTGATGCCTCTTGGTGTTAGAGAATAGAATTCTAGGCGTTGCTGTTTAATGTAATTTTAATTCTTGTTGCAAACTAATACTGAGCCCGACCATTTTGCGTTGGAAAGTTAGCAATTTTATGTGTGATTGTATGGTACTGAATTCTTGCATTACTTCTTTGCATATCATAGAAAACTATGGAACTAAACTTTTGTGTCGTGGTAAAACATTATGAATTTCAAATTTTTCTCTAAAGCGGGGAAAGTATTAAAAAAAAGAACAAACTCTGAGTCAGTCACTCTTAGTAACCCACTAACAAATGATAGGTTTAACAATTGATATGTTTCAACAAATGATAAGTATATAAACTTTATACAAAATCATTTATTACACATCTCAGCTTTTTTTTTTTAAAAAAAAAAAGCTGAGATGTGTAATAAATGATTTTGTATAAAGTTTATATACTTATCATTTGTTGAAACAAAAAAAAAATTGTACTGTTAATGAAAAAGTGTACCAATAATCTAATCAATGAGTATCTATTTAATCACAAAGCTCATCTATTTATTTATTTATTGACATTTGAAAGTAATTTCTTATATTTATTCTAGCTAATTAATGCTTAGGAATTTGGATGCTCAAACTGGGCTATCGTAGAAGAAGAGAAAAAAATAATAGTGCTCAAATAGTCATTTTGCTCAACTTTAAAGGCCAAAAATCCAATTGACCCCAAAATAAATATTTACTAGTTTAGCCCCTTAAGAATTAACATATTCTGATCTCCCTAGACCTTGAATGAATATATACAACTCTCAGCCGAACTTTCGTTACCGTTTAAATCTTACAGCTACTGATCGGATTCAAGAAATATTTTGGAGGGATCGAATTGAAAGAACCCTTTGAGCAAACTTCAATCTCTTCTTCGCGGTTTACATCTTTTTGCTGCTCCGAATGGAACCAATTCAGGTACGAAAAAAGCAATACTTTATCTTTATGGTTTTCATGTCTTTTTCTAAGTTTGATTTACTTGACTGGAATTTGATCGGAATTACTGGTGGCAATCCGGGTTGTTCAACGATAACTGCTCCATAAGTTATTTGCCTAGTGTTTTATTCGTGGTCTGAAAAAAAAAAGAGTGTATAGTTTGGGTTATCCTCAAGGAAAGAATTGATCCTTTTTAAGGGATTGGGAGTAAAAGATCTGGCCAATGCAGGAAATTGAGAGAACAGGCAGCTGTTAGTTTCGTAACTATGCAAAAGAAACTGTGTAAAAGTGGAGATCTTTGTATGGCTATTAGTGAATGTACCCAAAAAGTTTGGAACGAGATTAAAATGTTTATACGCGTTCAAGTTATGCCTTTTCATTTTTACATTATTGAATCAATAGCTACTATAACAGTGATTTCTGTGTGTGCAATAGTAGAAGCTCCTTAGGTATTGAAATGTTTACTGCTTAGTGCTCCCTTTCAAGTTTCATTTATGTGGATTTGAGTGCTCTGGCACAAAGCAGTTTCTGAACTTTATGTATAGTTTTGAAAAGAGTTCCCTTACTTAAAATTGAAGTTACAACTGTACTGAGTAGTGGCCATTGATTATTGGATTGTAAGATGATATTTTCATTCTCTCAAATCTGAAAATGATGAACCTTTTGATATATGAACCACAGATTTGAACTTTATCAGATAGTAGTTTGAATTTAGGCCTCAAAAGAATGAAATCTTGGTAAAGATTGTCTTAAGCTTCTATCTAGATGTGAATTATCCAAAGGCTGGGAACTTAAATTTATGCAGAAAATCGGATAAGGGAAAACCTACTCTGTGTTTGAGGATTTGCCCCCTCCCTTTCCCGTTTTTGTGGACTGTATCTTAGTAAATTTTATTCCTTGAAGATTGGAATTTTTCTGATAAGAAGTTTTAATGTTATTATGCAGAGGATATAAGCCTAGACTCTTGTTCTGGCTTTATGTTGAGGAGGGCGTTTAAGTTAAATTGTTGTAGAAACTGATGTCCAGAAAGATGAGAGTGTGCAGTGGATGGAAGAGACTTCTTTTCTGTTTACCTTTGGTTTTTCTCTTGCCGCATTTGATCTCAGGTGATCAGTTCCCTTTCCATTGTAGTTTTTTCCATTCCCTTTTTGGGTTTACCCCTTATCTCTTTATCAAATTTTTAAGATGGATTTCCACTTTTGTTTAGTTTCGAAGCTTCAGCAGCAGATCACTTCACCAGATTTGCATACAAATAAACCCCAAAAATCCAATCATCTTATTTTGGGACCTGCCGCCGGTGTGGGTTTGGCTGATCGTCTGCAATGTCAAGGTTTTAACTGATTCCCTTTGTTGAAGTTGCCAGCCAGCTCTATTTTTCTTTGTATTTTAGTTGAAGTTGGAAGCCAGCTCTATTTTTGTTTGTGTTTCATTTTAGTTTAATGTTGCGTGTCTCTTCTGAATAATTTCCTTCACTGGATTGGTTTAGTTTGTATGTAAAGTATTGACTATGTACATCTAAATAACATTTGTTATGTTTGAGCATCTATTGGAAACTTGTGGTTAAAATTTTGTCATAATTTTTGAAAGTAATGCTTAAGCATTTTGCACAGGGATCAGGGCGCTTAATCGGACTCAATTTTCTTCATTCACAGACGCTTCAACTTACAGAGACCGAATTTCCTTTGTAACTGTTTTTACCATGTACAACTCGAGTGTCAATGGACAAAACAGTGAGAAATTCAGGCACTTAGTTACCATCGGGAACACTTCATACAACAAGGTCGAAAGATCATTGGCCATTTTGGATGTCTTCATCAATTTCATTCAGGTATAACATTTATCTACCAGAGTTTAAAGCATGCTAACAGGGACTGATAGTATATGGTTCGAATTTTTGCTATTAGTTGCAGATCAGACTGTGGAAGAAACTAATGAGTGCTTGCTCACAGAATATAAAGTTGCGCGCGCGCGCGCGTGTGTGTGCGTGTGCGTGTGTCTGCGCGTGTGCGTGTGCGTGTGTGTGTGCGTGTGCTTGTGCGTGTGTGTGTGTGTCTATGTGTTAGTTTAATAAATTCTTCCTTTGTTTGATTGTATGCCTTAAGACTATTTGGCATCTGATTGTCCCTATATTTAGTTTTTAATGTTTGCAGAATTCAATTTTGCTAGGTGAGCGTTCCTCGGAGCAACATTATCATTCTTACTGATCCATCCTCAGAGCTCCCAGTGCATAGAGATAGGGTTGTAATGAACCCCATTCAAGGTGAATATTCCAGAGACAAGTTGATGCTTCAAAGAATCAGGTCTTACATTGTAAGGGGAAAATGAATTATGTGGATTAGCTTGTGATTGTTAGTTGAAATGTGTGCCATATTCTTCCTTCTCTCGTAGTGTGTGCATGTGTCTTGGACGAGGCGATTTCCTTGAACCATTATCTTAGTGATGGACTTATTTGCTGTATGGTAGCCTATGTCTCTTGTCTCTTGGTTGGAAGTTCTCGGGTTTAGTTTTATGCTTGTGTTAGTTCTTTGAATAGAAGATGTCATCAAGTCTCTTGGCTTTTCTAGTGAAAGCATAACGTGAATTTATCTGAGAGCTGGATACTTAGCTAAGACAATTCTTAATCCTTGCTCGCTTTACTTCACTTAGGGTTGTCCTTTTGATTTCATTGTACTTCAGATGGTTGTGTGCGTTGGCTGATCCACGACATGATTCATATCTTACAGTCTGGGTTCTTATTGGAAACTTTAGATGTCTTTCTGATTTTTCATTTGTTTTGCCATTGATCTTTAATTGCAGGCCTTTCTTGAAACAAAGCTTGAAGAAAACTCTCAGGTGCAAGGATCGAAGAATCACTACATTTTCACTGATTCAGATATGGCCGTGGTTGGTGATCTGGGTCAATTCTTTCATGACTTCCCAAATTTTCATCTGGCTCTCACCTTCCGGAACAACAAAGAACAACCTCTAAATTCTGGATTCATAGCAGTTAGAGGAACTGCTGAGGGAATGACTAGGTGCATACTTTTTGAATTTATTTTCGAAGCATTTAGCAAATCATACTTGATAATCTTTCTTTGCGTGAACTGTCAAAGTGCATTTAAAAAACCCTGTTAAATATTGTTAATTTGAATTCTGCAATTACCAGTTTTACTTTGGAGGCTTCTCCTTGGAATTGGAGTGAAAAAAGAAAAAAAGAAAAAACAAGCGGTATTCTGAATTATTGAAGCAGGAATCTTCATTTCGATTGTTCCTGGCCATCCTATCCTTTTTCACCTTTTTTACGCTCATCCACAACCAACAAGGGCTGGTCTGATGGTTATCTACGATTATTGCTTGTCTGTTATTTCATCTCCTGGCTGTCCTGTCATATTGACCTTCCCCTCATTTATATATTTTGTCCTTGAATTTAATTGTTTTAATGTGTCTGTTCCCTAAATTATTGCCTTTAATCGAGTGTTTTGATGTCATTTTTACTCAGGGCAAAGGCATTCCTGCAGGAGGTACTCAAAGTTTATTCTTCAAAGTTCATGAAAGCTTCCCGTATGCTTGGAGATCAATTAGCACTTGCCTGGGTTGTGAAATCTGAACCTTCCTTTGATGCAAGAATGTTCACGAAGAAGCATCCCTTTCTTCACGAAGTCAGTGGGGCTTCAGTGTTATTTTTGCCATGTGCTATTTATAACTGGACACCTCCGGAGGGTGCTGGCCAATTTCACGGGATGCCCTTGGATGTCAAGGTACTGTCGAGCTAAAGTTTTATTTTTACCCAAAGATTTAATCAACAAGATTGTCCCCTCATGAATGTAACAAACAACTTCTGTCCTAGAAAAGATGCTGAAAGTCTGTCCTAGAGTGAAGAAATCTAACCTTCACTCTTATAGTTTATAAGATTTCTAGTCATTCATTAGTTAGGTCTTTTTCTCGTCAAATCTTCAACATGTAACCGACACATGCTGAATGATTTAGTCATTTCGCGGAAAGGGAGTTTTGTTTGAAGTTTTCAGAATAAGAATGGATCTTTAAAAGTAAGGGACTGATCGAATGTACTCCCTCCGTCCCAGAAAAGTAGTTCATTTTGTTGTACCATTTTAGTTCAACAAAATGTACTTTTCCTCTGGGTCAGAGGGACAGATTTCACTTTATGTGAGGAACAATTTTGTTGATTTAACTCTTAAACTATAATACTGAAAAAGGTGAAATATAATGTTTATCATTCGTCACACGTTTGTTGTCTAATTCTGGATTTTGTTCATGAAATTTATTGTGGAGGCAGGTGGTACATTTCAAGGGATCAAGAAAAAGACTAATGCTCGAGGCTTGGAATTTTTTGAAATCTTCATCAGATAATGACATCTCTGATATGTTGTGCCTGGTTCTGAGCAGTGGAAGGACCAAATATGATTTCTAAGTCATAATTCCCAGAATTTTAAGCGTCAGAATTTCATCTTCTCATTAGTAAATCCAGTCAAGGAGAAGAAGTTGACGCCTTTGCTTCTGGGGAATGAGTGAAGTTTCCATGCTACCAGAACCACTGGTTACAACCTGGCTTACAAAGACTGTTTCTGGGTTCCCCTTGATCTACTCAATTGGAATAGCAATAGTCAATGATTCTAAGCGAAATGGAACATTACCCCTGCCCATCGCCTTTGAGAATTTGGTCCGGTTATGATTTTAGGGTTAGCCTCCACATTTTGTGCAGAGCAGATTGTTGATGCATTAGCGATAGATCATAGTCAATTATCATCTGTTACTTCATGTTCATGTTCATGCCCCTTCCATTAGGACAAGAAATACCGTTTTTTCTTTTTCTTCTTTTTTTTTCTTTAGGACAAGAAATACCTTGTGTAAGAAGACCTTGGGGGTTTTAAAAGATTGAATTTGACCTTATAGTTCATTCTAAACTGTTTTACAGACAAGTATCCTTTATGGCAAGAGGGAGTATGGCTTTGTTCAATTTTGTTTCTTTTTGGCCTGCATCTTTCCATATGTACAGTACATGTCTTCGTTCTGTGCAGAGCCATTATGTTCGAAATTCTCAGCTATGTTTGTGGAAACATTGGTCAAATGCACATCTACAAGGCGAATTGACCATGACCACACGAGTCTTCCTGATTTGACGGGGGACACGTAAGATTGTTAATATATTCCTAAAAGAAAAATAATTCATTTTAAATAAAACTAGATGTTAAAGCAGCGCAATGCGCGGGATTTATTTATATATATTACAAAAAATCAATAAAAAAAATATAAAAAATGTAAAATATATTTGGAGTCCATATTAAGATACATTACACAACTAAAATTAAATAAATGCGTAATTGTAAAGATAAAATAATGCATATCATTTGAAATGCAAGTATTCACTTGATTTTTATTGAAGGAGAAGAACTGGACAATAACACTCATAAGCAGAGTAAAATAAATAAGATTGTATTAATTTTACACATTGAATGAAAAGATAAAATGATTGTACGCGTAAAATACATAATGAAGTAATTATCAGTAGTAGATGGTAGATTATGTGTGACTAAAGTGTGAAGTTTAAAATTTTTATGGTTATTTTGTTGTAATTAAAGATTCTATGGTACTGTTTGGCCCAATACTTAATATTTTAGAGCAACAAATGTAGAGTTAAAATTTTTTGCCCTTTAATCCCTTTTTGCTATAACAATAGAAAATAATAATTAATGAAATTATGGGTAAAAAAAATATAAATTTAGTAATGTCTAAAAAAGAATCCTAAAACATCATTTTGCAGAAGAACATACGAAAAAAAAAATCATATATAACCTTAATTAACCATTACCTCCCATGCCACACGATCGACTCACTATTAGTTCATCACTTTCAGAACAACAAACCAACTGTAGGGCTAAAGTTTTTGCCCTTTCATCTTTGGATTTCGAGTTGTTTTGGGGAAGGGGAAATTTTTGCAGCACTGGAACATACTCACGGTTTGTGTGGCATGTATAAATAGAGATAAATTGGGATTGATTATAATTGATTATGCAAAATTTCAGTGATAAAGATAAAGTTTATAACAATTTTTGAGATATTATTAAGGAAAGATTATATTTATTTGGGTAGATATGATATTACACAAATAAATGCATTGGTTTGAAATTCAAAAGATAACATTTAGTTATAGTTAAATCCCATCCTTTTAGTAATAATTGAAGGCAAGTTTTGTACCTTTTTTTTTCTTTTTTATTAGCGAAAAATACAGAGTATATTTTTAGGAGAAGATTTTAAAGATAAAATTAATGTTGAATGATTGTTTTTTTTTTTTTTTTGAATTGTAGTCTATTGATTTACATGATTGGAAGAGAGTTTTTTTTTTAGAGAGATTAATTAAATGAGTCCAGTAGTAGCTTTGGGGATTCTTTTGGGGAGGAAATAATTCTGGTGCATTATTGTTCATTAATTCCGTCCATTAAATTTAATTAATTTTTATTTTTCTATTTTAAACTATAGTTTTAAATGCCATTTGATAAAACTTTATTTACATAAAATTTGATATTAGTATAATTGTTGTAAATATTTTTTGATTCAACCATTAGAAAAATGACACATAGAATTTTATCCTATGTAGCACTTTTAGAATTCTTTTTTGTTTTCTCTCTCTGATTTCTCTCTTAGTATAATACTATAAATAGGTTATTTTCCTGGAAACGACCAAAATGAAAATATATTAGTTTTGAAATAGATATGGTGTCTCTGTACATGTTTCAATGAAAAATTTGCAATCGTGAAAGTTTGACCTAAATATTATAAAATTATTTATTTAACTTTTAGTATTAATAAAACAGTCGGCTTAACTCCTTTTTTGACCAATGCATCTGTAACTGTAAGCTTGCACGCTGCCTCATTTCTTGAAACATAACTGAATAAAATAGGTTTAGGAGTGACAAATTTTTGAACCAACCAACGACACACAGCCAGACTTCAGCTATTTATTCCCTTACTTTAATACGATGTGTTTTTATAATCTCGTTTTAATAATTTATTTTGTTAAAGTAAAAAGCTGTACTCTAATGGAGTAATTTTATTTTCGGCTTTTCTTTTTTGGTTAATTGTACCTGTCTCTTGATTGAGTTGAAACGATTTTCAATTGGGTTATGGTACCTGTGCACGTCATGGCTTTTGACAAGTTCCAGTTTAGTTAATAGTCTAATCTATGGGTCAAAATGACAAAGAATCGAAATTTATTTTTATTCAAGAAAGACTTTTACAAAGATCCAAAATGGCATACGTAGCCTATAATCAACACAAACTACATTTGGAATCAGATTGTGTCATGCCACAAGTAATTAAGAAAGAATTAGTTGGGAGCGAAGGAAAAACTTTTTATTGTTAGGTTAGGTAATGACCATTTCTAATAAATAATACTCTCTCCGTCCCACAAAAATAGTCAACATTGAATTTTGAGATTTGTACTATTTTTAGTACAAATTTGAAAACTCAATGTAGACTATTTTTTTGGGACAGAAGTACTAGTATTCTCTCATTCCATTTGGGATACACAATCAAACTTGAGATACGATTTATTATTATTAATTTTTTGTACATTAAGCGGAAGAGTTATCAGTTGTGTGTAATCTTTGAAAAAGCGATATTTGCTAAAGTGAGGGATAACACATTCGATCAATCCTCTAGGAGTTAACATTAATTACGAATTGTTGTAGCCCTCAAAAAAATGTAATTACCTACCATAATTTCTTTTCTTTTTTTTTTCTTCAGTTTTCCTGTTTATACTTTGTTTTCTATGCATGTAGTGTAAAAAGCAGCTGGTTAACAGGAGGGAAGAATGAAAATAAAGGTTTTGTTTGCACTGTAGATATTCATAATTTTAGTCCGTTCTTTTGAGAAACAAATCTTATAGTACAATTTTAATAAAACATGTCTATTTACCTGAGAGAAGTACAGTAGAACTTCTATAAATTAATAATGTTGGGATCACCAAAATTTATTAATTTAGTGAATCATTAAATAAACGATAAATTAATAAATTATTAATTTAAAGAACCTGCATGAGAAAAAAGAACCATTACTAAATTACTTAATTTGCAGTTGTCTTTGCATCCGAATCAATCAAGTATTAAAACTATTTTGAACGCTAAAAACCATACATAGTTCATATCATCTCTATGGTAAAAAAAATAAGTGTGAATAGTTCATATTTTATAAATATTTAAAGTATTTATTATTTTTTATTGTCGTTAGTGTATTTATTAATTTATGATATTGTTGGAATTTATAGATATATATGAGATTTACTGAAAAATTATTATCTTATCATTTTATCAAATTTTTTCTACTTTTTGTACTGGTCCCAAGTTGGAATCGAAGAAAATTATTAATTGTTAGAAATTATCAATTTATCTATTATTAATTTACCGACGTTCTACTAGAGGTAGCACACGACACAGTTACACACAAAAATACTGTATCTTTAATCTCTTTTTTTAAAATAAATGATGAAATAAGGTGATATGTGCATTGACACTTGACAGCATGAACAATCCTTTTCGTGGCGTGAAAGCATCCAAACTGGAATAAAGAAATTTGATTTAATTATGAATTAGTTACATGTCATCTTTGAATATATTTTAGAAGAGCATTATTATAACTATTTCCTCTGTCTTAAAATAATTATCCTCTTTATATTTTAATTTCTAGTAAATAATTATATTAATTAAAAATAAAATCTAAACTGGACAATTATTTTAAGACGAAGCGAATATATAATACATTGATTATTTGCTGCGTACACATAAATACAATCCAAGCTCTTGCAATAAATATTTTCTTTTTTTATCAAAAGATAAATTCAGTTGACTTTATTATAATGAAAATTTTCCTTCAAATGTACTTTTAAACAAAATAAAAGAAGTAAGAAAAGAAAATTAAAATTTGTCAAAATTATTAATTAATCAAGGTAAAAAACTTGGACCTAATCATTACTTTTACCTAGTAAACTTGATAATTAGACGCGCTACATGACATGTTCGAATTTGGTGCTAACTGGCCTTGAAGCACAAGATATAAAATACCACAAAAAATGAATATCCATGGAGAGTTTTAGTCATGGATTCTTATATACTTCTAAGGAAGTTTTGGTGCATGATTTTCTCTCCCTCTCTCTCTCTCTCTCTTTTTTTTTTTTTTTTTAAAGGTCGATTTATATAACTTTTTCTATAATTTGCGATCACATGAAGCGGGCATCTCTCGGGGGGTTTTTTTTATTTAATTTTTAATAAAGGAATTAATAGTGATTCACCACTTACCCCCGACATGATTCGAATTCGTGACCTATTAATCATCTTTCGATTTTTTGTTAACTACTACTTTTCATTTTAAATAATTAATATCATTTCGTTCAGAAAGTTACGTGATTTGAAGAGATAAAATAAATTATGAATCTGCATGATGATTTCCAACCTTAAATAAGCCCTTTATAGACCCTAAACCCTAAATAATGCGCACTTCAAAGTGCCTATGACCACGAGAGAAATATACAGACTCGTTTTTAAAGTTTTGAATTAATCCTCAAAATGATAGGCGAAATATCTAAATTTTATGACTCTGTCAAATTGATGATTCATATATGCGTACTACCACCTATGAATATATGATGGATTAAGTATGTAACATTGAGAATGAGGTGTTGGTTCAGTGGTGAAACTACCCTTGCTCTCAAGAGGAGGTTATGACTTCAAATCCTCACTCCAACAAGAGTAAGGGATGGTTCTAGATTTGTCAATTGGCACTTCTAGAGAGCGCTTGTTATGACGAACTCACTCATAAACCTCCGCTTTCACACCCGAGCTTGTCACCTCGGGCTTGCTTAGGGTGGTTTACTTCCCACTGTGGTTAACAGGCTATTGTAGTGGGCGTGGGTTTACCCATCTCTGGTGGGATTCTCGGCGTCACCTAAAAAAATGGTTAGCAGGCTATTGCAGTGGGTGTGTGTTTACCCATCTCTAGACGTTCTCGGCGTCACCTTAAAAAGAAGTATGTGACATTGTATCACTTTTCCTTTCTTTCTTTATTTTTTTTTCTGGTTAAAAAACAAAGTCAAAAAAATATAATGTTTCTTTTTGTGAATTAAAGGTAATAGATTCAGAAAATCAATTTGGGAAAAAAAAAAAAACAAAGGCATGGTTCTTGATACGTGCCGTTTAAGTTGGTGGCTGTCTGCTGGTTGAGTGATTCCATGTCTGCTCCAATCCATCAATATTTGACTCCAACATTCATCAATTTTAATTCCACAGTCAAGTAAATACCTCATTAATTTGACCCTTTAAAATTTGCTATACCTTTTGTACTTAAATCAGTTTTTCCAATGTTTTTTTTTTCTTAGTGACTAACTTTAATTGAAAGTCTTTGTGTTAGATTGAGAGATACGTAACCTCACGTAGTTTCTTTTTCCACACCCAAAAAAAAATAAAATTTCTGGACTCGTAATTAAGAAAACCCAGAAAATTATTTAATTTTGAAGGAATGAAATTAATGAATTGATTATATATAAATAAATACATGTATATATTTATACATATATACATATATTTATTTGCTTATTTATTTTGGAACTACATTTCATTTAACCTAATCAAGTAAAGAAAAAAATGACTAGCACTGAAAAGAACAAAACGTAAAGAATTAACTTATTAGAATATGAAATAGCACGTTATTATATATTATTACGTGGAGAAATAGATGAGATTTTGCGTAGTTTATCCTATATTATCACTCTTGAACATTCATTTTCATAATATTAGTCTTAACTCTTTTCTTTTTTTAAAAAAAATCCCGAGTAAATCATCTTTTTTAATTTTAACCTTGTAATGTCAATGCTATCAACTGTTAATACGATTATCTACAACTACCAAGGTTGAGGATGGAAGATCGTAAACCAAAGGAATATTATGAATGAAATGTTGATTTATAGGTTAACTATATTTTTGTTCAAATCAATAGAAAAATATATCGTGTTCAAAATAAGACTATTATTATTGATGTGAAAGGCGTAAACGTTTTCTTTTTCTATAACTTCATTTCAGTTTTTTTCCCTTCTTCGGAAATCAAACATGGCTACGTTCTTTCATAAACATTAACAAAAACAGCAGTAATTGTTCCGTGGGATTATTGTTATTAAAGTATTTCAGAGTTCTAAACTGGATTCACTTCTCTTCATTTTGTCTTCTTAACTTCAGTAATCATTTCAAACTCAAGGCATTACTTTTGTTTGTTTAATTTTCCAAAATCATATTAGTTTCTTTTGTGACGAGAATGTTATATTACGACCAGTCGTATCATCAATAAATTTAAATTTATTTATAAAGAATATCACGATAAGAATACACAAAACGTTGATCATTGAATTGAATCGAATCGAATGGACATGCGCGGACTTACAAATTGACACGGAAGAAGAGAAAATGAGGGGGAAAAGCACATAAAAATACTTCCAATTTTCAAAGATTTTAAAAGAAAAATGAGAAAATGGACTTCCATTGTAAACCAGTGGGACAAACAAAATTCTCTGCCGTCTGCTCATAAATTGTGCTAAACGCCACGTAACCAAATTTATATACGTATAGGTCAATCTTTGCAAGGTGTATATGCATTATTAATTACATAAAGAGGGAATTATAAAATAGTTTATTATACTATTATTGTGTTATAGTATTATACATGTACGTAATTATAAAATTTATTCTCACTACAATTGATTTTAGTAAATAAAAATTCATAACAAGTTATTCCGTTAGTTTTTGCGTTAGACAAGAGAAATGAAAATTAGGAACATCTATCTGAAGAGTTTTTTCACCTTTAGGACTTTACCTATGTTCTCAACTTGATTTTGTGTAGGACAGTACTTATTACTTCCTCTGTCCTAAAATTATTGTCCAGTTTTGATTTCACTTTTAGTTTAATTTATACTAAAACTGAAAATTCAAATTGGACAATAATTTTGAGACAGTGGAAGTATTATCTTTGGCCACTTAAAGCACGTAATGGTTCTTGTACCAAGAGTGACAGAGAGAGAAATTTTATTTTTCAATCATTGATAAATCTTAGAGTAACAGCGTTACTAATTTGTGTTAAATAGTTTTGAATTTTTATGACATGAGTACTTTAGGGAGAATTTAAGCTTTGAAATTTGAGTAAAATTAAGCAAAGAAAATTATAGAAAATTCATTTTTCATGGACAAAATAAGTTGTTTGTTTATTTTCCTTTGGAAAAATAAGAACTAGTGAATATATATTGTTAAAGATGACGTCATAAAATTCACGTACGCTGATACAAAAATCCGCGGACGAAAATAGGATGATCCAGATGAGATGAAATGGACAGTTGCTTATAATGACTAACCATATAAATGTAATTCGTTAGTCAAACCACCAAAAATAGACCGTGGAAATAAAATTATTCACGGTATAATTGGAACTTTTGTTAATAAATCAATTTCGGTGATCACTCTGGTCGAGTGACGGAGTTAGGAGGACTAGGCAGACTGTATGTACTTTGGATTATATCCTAATTCATGTCATCAAAAAAGAGAGAAAAGAAAAATAGAAAAGTGACTTCCAAATGATTTTTTTTTTTTTAATGTTGAAAAACACGTTTAACGTTTTTAACTTATGAAGAACGCCAAAAACTCCGTAAGAAAATAAACCATGGTGAGAAAGTCATGTATGCAAGCACATGAGGTTCGAATTCGACGAAAATATTATCAATACAAAATACTCCCTCCGTCCCATAATTATTATCCAGTTTTAGTTTTTATTTCTAGTTTAAATTGTACTAAAAATGAAATCTCAAATTAGACAATAATTTTGAGACAGAGAAAGTACCATTCTTTAATAAATTTTCGACTAAAATACCACCCAAACTCAGAAGAAAAACAAAAAGGAATCGTTGACTATATTAATTTTTTTTTATAGGGTGTATTTTTTTTTTTTTTTATCAAACCTAAAATTAAAAGCGAAAACAATTTCGATATTCTGTATGCAATCCTTTTGAAACCGCGTAAAGACCAAAGGAGAAACATAAAAATAAAAAAATAAAAAATAAAAAAGAAGAAGAAAAAGAAGAGAGGGAAAAAAGCAGGCATTTACTGCATTAAGCCAATGAGCAGAATTCCAAACTCCAAAAAGACAAAGGCAGAAAACCACAGAAAGAGAAAGGAAGGAAAGAAGAAAGAAACGAAGCAGAAAAAAGAAATTCAAAGTCAGATATTGATATTCAAACAGTTGGTGCTCTCTCTCTGCTCTATTTCCACACATGCCGCTAATTCCCATTTCCCACGCTTCTTTAACTCTCGTGTTCCTCAAAATCATATTTATCAAATCTTTTCTCCTTTCTCAATCCTAACCCATCACTCAATTTTATATATATAGCTCATTTTTAGCTGCAAGAAAAGTCTCCACTCTTTCCCTGTCCTTCAATTTCCCTCTTCTTGAGCCCCGTGATTGAAAAATTCTGTTGGAAAGGAGAGATTTTTTCATAACCCATCTGGGTTTTCGTATTTGATTAATGTTTGGGTGGTGGGGTTTTTCTGTAAGATTTTTTTGAGCTAATTAGGAAAGACTGTGTTTTTTTAGTACAGATGGTGTTGAAGTTATTGGTTGGTTTATTCCATGTTTACTTGCTTTGCTGTTCTTATGGGTTTTGGGCTGTTGGAGGGGTTTTAACTTCAAGGAAGCTGAATTCAAATGCGTCTGGTTTGTTTGGTATTGAATTACCTGATTATTCAAGCTTCAATGCCGTCGATTCTTCTGCAAATTCAGGCTGCAACGATTTCTCCGAAACACAGAGAACAGCATCTCTGAATTCGGGTTCCAAGGAAGGAAGTAATGTTAATCACAAAGAATTCCATCATGATGATGATGATGATGATGATGAAGATGTTTCAAATGGGTCGGAAAATCAGAATAAACCCACGGTCAAACTTCATCTGAAACACAGATCGGACGGCGAAGATACCAAGTCAAAGAAGGACTCTGTTTTGGAGTCAACGTTCAGGGATATGATCAGGATTCAGACTCTGCACAAAAGAATTGTTGAGAAGAAAAATCAAAACTCCATTTCCAGGCAATCACGGAGGAATCTCAAGCAAGTGGTGTCAACTCCGGTGGCTGCCTCGCCGGAAAGCAATGAATTTTCCGGTCATCTTACGGCAACTTTGCAGTCAGGGGTGAGTCTGGGTTCAGGGGAATATTTCATGGATGTTTTTGTGGGTACACCTCCAAAGCATTATTCATTGATTCTTGACACGGGAAGTGATCTGAATTGGATTCAATGCGTTCCCTGCTACGATTGTTTCGAACAAAATGGCTCGTTTTATGATCCAAAGGATTCAACCACTTTCCGAAACATAAGCTGCCATGATCCTAGGTGCCAACTGGTTTCATCCCCTGATCCTCCTCAACCTTGCAAGTCCGAGAATCAAACCTGTCCGTACTACTACTGGTACGGAGACAGCTCCAACACCACCGGCGATTTCGCCCTCGAAACCTTCACCGTTAACCTCACCAATCCGTCCTCCGGGAAGTCGGAATTCAAGACGGTCGAAAACGTCATGTTCGGTTGTGGGCATTGGAACAGAGGACTATTTCATGGTGCTGCTGGATTATTAGGCCTAGGAAGAGGTCCACTTTCGTTTTCTTCACAGCTTCAATCCCTATACGGACATTCTTTTTCGTATTGCTTAGTGGACAGAAACAGCGATTCCAGTGTCACAAGCAAGTTGATTTTCGGGGAAGATGAAGATTTGCTGAGCCATCCTGATTTGAATTTCACCGCATTAGTCTCGGCTGGCAAGAAGGAAGACAGCACTAATCAAGTTGACACATTTTATTACGTCCAAATCAAGTCGATTTTGGTCGACAACGAGGCGTTAAACATCCCGGAAGACACATTCAAATTGAGCCCGGAAGGCGCCGGAGGGACCATCATCGATTCCGGTACCACATTGAGTTATTTCGCCGATCCGGCTTACAAGATCATCAAGGACGCGTTCATCAAGAAAATCAAGAAATACCAACTCATTGAGGATTTCCCAATTCTGGCGCCGTGTTACAACGTTTCTGTAATTGATCAGAATCTGGATTTGCCTTCATTTGGGATCCAATTCAGTGATGGGGCGACCTGGAATTTCCCGGTTGAGAACTATTTCATCAAGCTGGTGCCGGAGGAAGTTGTGTGCTTGGCGATTTTGGGGACTCCATCTTCTGGTTTGTCAATAATTGGGAATTACCAACAGCAAAATTTTCATATTTTGTATGATACCAGACAGTCTAGACTAGGATACGCTCCAACTAAATGTTCTGAAATGTAAAATAGAAACAGAAGTTGATAGTTGTAATTTTTTTGTTTGTGATTTTTAAAAAATTTTTGGGGTAACTAAACTGTACACAAAAATGGGTAGATTTTGTTTATTATTATTATTTTTCTTTATTGAATTAATACAAAAATATTGAATTGATCAACTACTTCTGTTTGTAATTTTATGAGATGTTGAATTGAGTTGACCGTTTCATTTTGTCACAGAGAAATAAAGTAGTAGTACTAGTAGATTAGCAGTAGTTAGCCGTCCGCTGGTATAATTATAATTTTCTTTCATATGAACAATGTTCATGCATCCTCAGTGTGAAATTCTATTTCAAAGTTTGACTATCAATTTCTTTGTACCCAAAAAAACAAGTTTGAGTATCAAAATTGGAAGTTCTATTCTCAACACTTCTAATTGAGAAAATTATTCGTTTTATGAATAAATAACCATTCAAAATTTTGGTCCAAAACAAATACTCTATCACTGCTTAAATAAGTGTTGAGAATTTGTTATATTGTTCGAGTTCTTGAAAAAAGAAGAATTCTATCATGAAACGAAAAGGATAATTCGTTTCAACTTTTAGGTAAGTAAATGGTAGGTTTACGTTTGCATGTATACAGAGAAGAGGTGATACGGCGAGTATATTATTCCCTCCCGTCCTTAATATAAGACATTTTGATTTATCCTAGATTTAATCTATTACGCATTTTTAATTAATGAAAAAACTTTAAAAATATTTCATAACGATCGAGAGGATACAACCAATGTGAAAATATATTTTTAACATATTTTTCTCAAGTTAATATGTGTATTAGGACAAATTAAAATGCATTGTATTCAGGTTCAGAGGTAGTATTATTCTTCTTTTTTCTTTTAAAAAATGATCTATTAACTTCACAGGAAGTCAACAATTTTGAATGATATAAGAAGGTTGGCGAATTTTGCCAAGACCCCAACTTAGAATAAAAAGTCTTAATATGATCTACATCGGTCTTTAATTTTAAAGATCCAATAAAGAGGATTTGGAATGACATACTGAAACTCGCTTTATATCAAGTAGAATTGAACGACAAGAACTTAATTAATTTTCTTTGTCCCATGATAATAATTAAGTTTGTTGAAGCATTATTAATACTCCGTAGTTACTGGACCAGGGTCAAGGGAGTATCCGAACTAGGAATCGAAATTATACTACTACGTTGTATTAAATAACTAATTAAAACAGACTTTTTAACAAATTTTCTTTTTGTACTATTTATAATAACAGAAACCGCACTTATTATAGTTCAACAATGCTTATTTGTTGTTGTAGCTCACAATCATTGACTTTTAACTTAAAACTCCCCTATTCCTAAATATAAAGTCGTTTTAGATTTGGGTCGATTTAGGATTTCAAAATAAGTTCATTAATATTTTTTAAAAAATTTCCTCAATAATATGTCAGCTCCTTCTCAATTACTCTTCTAGTCTATAATTGTAGTACATTTAATAAGGGGCATAAAAGATAGTACTTGTGTACAAATTAATTATTAAATTATTTATCTTTAGTTTATATGCAAACTCTAAAGTGACTTATATGTTAAAATAGACATTGTAATTTGTGAATAATTATACTAAAAATATTACAAATCATAACTCATGATATGAACTATTTCCTGAGACCGTGGAAGTATTAATAATAATCTACCAAAAAAATAATATAATATTATTTTGTCCCAAAAAAATAAGTGATATGTTACATATTCAAAACTTACTTTTTCTTTTGGGGGATAGATGGAGTAAATATTCTACCACACATCATCAACACCTAATATTGACAATTGCAATCATTAAATGATGGAGATTATTATTATTATTATTATTATTATTATTATTATTATTATTATTATTATTATTATTATTATCAGCAATTAGATCGTCAAACACTGTGTGAGGGTGAGACCAAGCCAAGTGTATTAAAGAAAGGGTCAAAGGTCAAGGAGTTATATTAGTTGAAATAGTGTTGTTTTGCTCGAACCAGACCGGCCGGTTGAACCGGTTAAACCGGAGACCGGACCTCATACCGATCCGAGCAGCATATAAAATCACAGATTTGAGAATCGGTCAAACTCGGTCCAGATTCCGAGCGAACCGTGAACCGGACAAAACCGGGTCAACCCCGGGTTTTACTTTTTTTGGCTGGCTTCACCAATTTTTTTAACTTTTGACGTGAATTTTTTTTTTTGGTCGGCTTCCAGACTTTTGATAGGGTTTCTCGTTCCCCTTTTTTCACTTTTTGGCCATTTCATTCATTTACAGTGTTCAACTCTTTTTGCTTCTCAAATTTTCTCACATCGCCGCTTTACTCACTTCTAAATCGATCCACTCAAAACTCATCCTTTTTAATTTTTTTGTTCGATCAATCGCCGATCTATGATCACAGAGTGTTTGCAGGCGGCATTTGCTACTTTCTTGCTATTTTCAACTTCTATAGACAAATACTCTATAGCCATGCTAATCCTTTGAGTAAGTCGTAACCAATGAAGAAGTGGTCGCATTAACCCTGTGGTTTTCGCCGTCTCGGAGATCAGTGCCTTGGATTTGGAAAGTAAGGAGTAGATGTATAGAAATTTTTTTTTCCACCTCCTTTGTCTATGAAATTTTATAAACTTATCTTTGAATACGAATCAAAAGTTTAACTTAATTTGAACAAAGAAGATTAAGAATTAATTAGTTTTCCTTATCCTGGCATAAAAAAATTAAAAAAATAAAAATTTCACATTACTCTGCATTCAGATCCTTTAACCCATCTTGCTAAAGTTATTTTCTTCGTATATTCTGATGGGAGCTGCAATTATGCATTAGATTGTGGAAATTTGCATGAAATAAATGGCGGCCGCCTAATTAGTGGGTTATCTTCAAGGCTCAAAACATATCTTCAATTTGGAGTTAGTCAGTGGACTATGGGCTACAACTGTAGGGTGTTTTTTTTCATTGTTTATATAGGTTTAGTTTTATAATTTTTGCTATACGAATTTATTTTAGCTTCTCTTTTTTTGGTTCACTTTTTATAAATTTTTCTACTTTTGGTATGAAATTTATTATTTTGATTTGATTAGGCCATATGACATCTGGTGTGGAGTATGTGAATCTATGATTGCAAAGGGTGTGCAATTCAACGCGGAGAAAAAATAAGTTGGAAATTATTATCCTACAAAAGTAAGCTTGGTTGCCAAACGACTGGAGTTAAAACTCTAAATCACTTGCCTATACTGGCACTGTGTTCTTGTTCTTTTCATTAGATATGGAGCTTTACAATGAAATCAGTCTGCTGTAAACCAGAGTTTAGGAAATAAATTTGTTCAATGGACCAATATAATAACAAATTCCGCTGGATGGTTTCGAAATCAATTATTAAGGTTTGTTGTTGTTCATGTTTAAATCGTGTTTTTAACTCCATTTTGATCATGGTTTTGCATTCCCATCCTTAATGGTAGAGCTCTAGAAAAATGTTTGATCAAACGGCTTTAGTTTATAATTTAGTTTTCATTATTATTTTTTAAGTAATTTACAAAGAAAGTAATTGAAGTTTTATTTTTGTTTTTTATGTAGTTATCTTAAATTAATGGAAGAAGATAATTTGCTTTCCACGGAGCAAAATCATAGTCTTAAAAGAGATCCAATATGGAAATATGGAACTGAAGGACTAAATGATAAAGGCAACAAGGTGATAACTTGTGTCTATTGTCAAAAAACCTTTGCCGGTGGGGGTGTTAATCGCCTCAAACATCATCTTGGCAAAGTAAAGGGTAATGTGGCAGCATGCACCAAGGTTCTTCCGGAAGTTTGTTCTTTGGTCGTGGCTTTATTGAGAGATAATGCTCGAAAATCCAAAGAAAAAAAGGCTGATTTTGAAATTGAAAATGATGATCAAGAAATCCCGAAAGTCATTAATGAGACATCAACGAAAGGAAAAAGAAAATCTGATCATGGCATTGAAGCTTATATGTCAGGTAAAGTTACCAATTTTACCCAACCTAGTCTCAAGTCATGTTTGCAAAGTAAGGAGAAGTGTCATGATACTGATATGGTTCTGGCTCTTTGGTTTTATGAGGCTTGTATTCCATTTAATGCTACTAATTCTATTTATTTTTGACAAGCAATATCCAAAGTGTCTGCTATGGGTCATGGATATAAAGCCCCTTCTTATCATGCACAGAGTTCATCTGTTAAATGAAGCAAGAAAACAAGTTGAATTGATTGTTGATGATTTTCATAAAATGTGGGTGGAAACTGGTTACACAATCATGGGTGATGGGTGGAAAGACCAAAGACAGAGGAGTTTGATTAATTTTTTAGTTTATTGTCCTAAGGGTGTTGTATTTATCAAGTCTGTTGATGCATCACATATTGTGTCTAATACTGAAAATTTGTACAACTTATTTTGTGAGATTGTTGACATGGTTGGAAAGGATAATGTGGTTCACTTAGTGACTGATAATGCAGCCAATTACAAAGCTGCTGCTAGGTTACTTTCTGAAAGATATCCACTTATAAGTTGGTCTCCTTGTGCTGCTCACTGTATCAATTTGATTTTACAAGATATTGGGAACATGCCTAAGATTGTAAGCTTGATTACTCTGGCCTCTAGAATCATTGTCTTTGTTTACAATCGTAAATGGATCTTAAGTTGGTTGAGAAAAATTCCTGGATGGAAAGAAATCATTCGGCCAGCTGAGACTAGGTTTGGTACTACATTCATAGCATTGAAAAGTCTATATGACCATAGAGTACACTTGGAAGAATTGGTGCTATCTTCAGAATACAAGGCCAAAGAGTTAAAACATCAAAAATGAAGAGATGTGAAGGAAACTGTTCTTAGTGATAAATTTTGGAATAATTGTTTAGTGACTGTGAAGATTATGGGCCATTGATGCGTTTGTTGCGCATTTGTGATTCTGATGAGAGACCATCTATGGGTTATGTGTATGATAGAATGTGGAGAGCTATTACTGCTATCAAAGATCTTTTTAAGAACAAGAAGAGATTGTATGAGCCCTACACTCAGATTATTGATAGTAGGTGGGATTCGATGTTGAAAAAAGATCTCCATGCAGCTGCTTTTTGGTTGAATCCAACCTTCCAATATGAAGTTTATAGTCGTTGTTTAATGTCCGATGCTTGGAAAGGTTTGATGGCTGTAATGGAGAAATTCAAGATTGAATGTTCTCAAGAAGTTATGAATGAAGTAATGATGTTCAGATCACTAAGTCAAAGCTTTGGATGTACTTTAGCTAAAAATACATATGCCACTACTCCCCCAGGTACTTTCTTAAACATTTATTCTTTTCGATATAATGCATATGTTAATTGTATTAGTTGTAATTTAATTATTTGTTTGTCATAGAGTAATGGTGGAAATATTTTGGAAATGATGCTCCCAATTTACAAAGATTGGCAATTAAGCTTTTGGGTCAAACAGTTTCCTCTTCAGGATGTGAGCGCAATTGGAGTGTTTTTGAACGAATTCATACCAAGAAGAGGAATAGATTGGAGCATGAAAGGCTTAATACCCTTGTTTATGTTTGCTACAATCTTCGTTTGAAAAATAGGTATTGTATAGCAAATTCTATAATATTCGATTTGTTTCTATCTATTTAGTTTGGTTTTTATTGTTTGTAAAAGGTTTTCAAAAAGACCTTGTGATCCGATTGATTATGAATGCATTGACAACATGGAGTCTTGGGTCATTGAAGAAGAAGATGATGGACTCGTTAACGAATTGGAGGAAATGATAGAAGAAGAGTATCCCAGGGATGGTGAAGAGACATTGAGTAAGAATTTTTTTTTTTTCTTCTTTTCTTGAATATGTTCTATGCGTTTTTCATCTAGGTGTAATGTGAAAATGGAATATTTGTGTACTTGTAGGTAAAACAAAGAAGTTTGTGGTTCTTGATGAAGAAGATGATAGTGTTGTTGGCATTTGCTCATCTAGTTTTTTTGAAGATGATGGAAATGAAGATCCTTATGATGATAGTTGTTTTGGTGAACCTAGAGTGTTAATTGGTAATGAATATGAATGACATAGTTTCTCAATTAAATTGAATACTCATGTTCGTGACCTAGTATTCAATAAAATTGAGTTTTTGAAGTGTAAATGTTTAGAGCTTCTAAAAGTGTAAATGCTTAGGTTATTATTTTGGTACTCAATACAATTGAGTTTGTTTTTTGACAGTGACTCAATGAGATTGGGTCCTTTTGATGTAAATGCTTAGCTAGAGCATGATATATGTCTTCTGATGTAAATGTTTAGCTAGAGCTTGATGTAAGTACTCAATTGTATTGAGGTTCTTTTGAAATAACTCAATGGAATTGAGTTCTTTTGATGTAAACACTTATGATTATGATATATTTTAAATGGTTGTAGTATTTTTTACTGAACTTGGAAACAATGATGTATTATCCTTATGGTTTGATTTCAGTGTTTACTAGCTAGTTAGTTAATGGAATTGAGTTCGATTTAAGTTATTATGTTTATTTTTGTGTTAGTGTTTCCCTGTTTTGTAAATAGTTTGATTTTCATTGTGTCTAATGAAAATTGGTGCATATAACAATATAAATACTCATAAAAATATATTAATTAAATTAAAAATTAATTATTACATCATTATAATGTCGCCGAGTCGACCCCCCGAATCGCCCCGAGTCGACCCTCGAGTCGATCAACCCCTTGACCATGCCGAGTCGACCTCCGAGCCAAGTATGACCACGCTGGTTGAAATGGACATACTAAACCCCAACAAGTATTTAGGTGACTCATCCATCGTCCATACTTTCTCAACCTACACATGGATAGAACCTGATAGTTATTGCTTTTCAAAATTTTATGCCAATTTATTACGACTCTCGAGTTTAGAAAATAATCTGATTTTGTGTATAATACTCCTAATAATAAAACACTTTAATTCTCTTTAGTTTTTGCTGGTTGCCTTCTGAATGTGTTATCTATTCAACTCGTGCTTAGCTGGTTTGTGGACGGAGAGACAATGAGTTTGGAAGAGCATAACACGCCGATGTTGTATGTTAAAGCTCTTCGCCTAAAAAGGGGGGTAAAAAAAAAAGAAGAAGAAATGTCCTGATCTCATATATCTCACAAATCAGCTCAGACAAATGATCCCTACAAGGTACAAAGAACTAACAGAAGTTCACATTGATATACTGATCTTTCATCTTCATCATATTTCACTACTCGGGATTGCTGAAATGGGGGAATCCATTACCATTTAGAAAGATGTACACCAATAAAATGTACTCAACCATCATCTATCATTCTGTCAAATCCATAATGCACAAGAATGGCCTCCTAAGATAATAAAGTGACTGATGAAAGACAGCCCGAAACAAACAGATCAAACTAAATCACCCAGTGATGTAATACAACAGCTAATCTATAGATTACTTCAAACCAAATGCATCTGGTTAAACGGAAACGCCGGATGAAAAATAAGGCAACACAAAGGAAATAAGAGTCCTCGACTAATCACTTGAATAATCGTCATCATTTTCTTCACGATCTGCAACAACCTTCTCTATGAACCTCTTCCTGACGCCGTCAAGAACATCCTTAGAATGCTCACCTCCACCCTGACCATCATTCAGTACTGGACCCGATTGACAGAGGACCAACGCGACACCTACACATTTGAGACGACAAGCAAATTGATCAGATCTGCTACAACCATGATACATGAACATCAATCCACATTAACCAAGTTTCCATCTAAACTTCTAAGCTTAAAGACGTAAAATCTCAAAGTAATGACTACCAACCAAAGAAATTTAGTACAATTGTTGAATAGACAAAATAGGTTTCAAGTTGCCTCATTTTCTAAATCTTCTTTTCAGTGCAATTTTATTTTTTACTTATCACCATCTTTTGTTATTATCATTACTATTATTTAAACTTAAATAAATGTTGTGAAGCAAAACAAGTGACAACTAGAAAGAGGTCATCAATTACAGCTGCAGTCTTCCCAAGACACTTACGTGCCAAAAACCTGACATTTACTGGAGAATGTCGTGAAGGATGTACTGAAGAATACCATGATAACAGTAAAAGAGTATAAACCCTATCCTAACTGGATAGTAACCTGCGAAAGTTTTTTTTTTTCCTTAACAGAACACTTAGTCTTCTCAAAAAGTAAGAGGAAGGCAAGTACATAAAGACTTTCAGTGACACACGGTGCTTGCCAGTTGCCATGGTGCTGATAGTTGCAATAATTAAAGAATGAAACTAACAAAAACTTAAACTTTCAACATACCTTCAGGGGTGCATCTGCGACCAAAACTACGAAGTCCCACATAATTGGCCTTGACTGCACTATTGTTGTACACCAAAAGGGTTGGAATATTTTGATCAGGGTAGTTAGGAATACACTCAGTAGATATGATCTTAACAAACTTTGTTGCAGAGTATCTTCGGGCCAGTTCTTCCAAGCATTGTAAAAGAAGCTCACACTCCGCATGTCTGACCAAGACATGTAAAACTATCAGATACAATATGAGCACAAAATAACAGACAACATTTTAAAACAGAAAAATGTACAAAAAATTAGTAAAGAAGTCCCACAACACAAACTATAAGAATTACGAAAATGTGAAACAAAGAAAGTCAAGAAACCACAGGAACTAATGATGAAAAGAAGTGGTGGCAAAAGTAAACAATTACCCATCCTTATATAATATGACAACCACCCAGACATCTTCTGGTGCTTGTGAAACCTCACGCACAAAATCAGATCCAGAAATTGTAATCACCGATCCAAACCTTGCAATCTTGGCAGCTTCTCTCATTTCCGCCAGCCTCTTCCTCCTTCATATAGTTACCATAACAATTTCAAATACTACACAGAATCAAATCAAATGAAAAGCAGAACGGAAAACTACGCATCAAAGTTTATTTGTTAGTCAAAAGAGAATAACTGAATTATAAATAAATACAACCATGTACATCCTAGCATTTTAGCTCTACATCAGAAAAGTATAAAATGCTATTTCACCACTATTTTTTCCCCCCATATATAACATGATAAAATAGAAAGAAACACCAAGCAATCCTATGTTATCAATAACTATAAAAATCTTTCGCTCATTCTGTTCTACTTCCACCAGATCTGTCTCTTTGCTCATTCTGTCGAAACTTAATGTTCTGAAATAGAAAAGCCATCAATTTGTTGTTCTTTACTTTAATAAAATGCAAACTCTCTAATACCCAGTACTTCCATAAATGTTTCAACCCAGGGAATCGTATGTTTTTAGAAGGGTTCATAGCTATAAGAAATCATGGGCACATCTGCTATCAAAAAATTTGTGGCTTAACTTAGAACTGAAAATCAATCTTCACACTGAATATTTATAACCACTAAGGGAATGCGTCCGATCACAAGTCCAGATTTCCATAAGACTACTCCTTTTCTCTTCTCCAATCGAATCGAAACAATCATTAACCGCGAAATTAGATGATCCCAACTAGCTAATTCTGGATTAAGTTGGAACTAAACATGAATCCTTTATACTAAGAGTTCTTAATCTGCTATAGATAGTATCCAAATACATGAAATTTGGAAAGAACCCGTGTAGAAAGAACATAAGGGAAAGCAATTAAAACCTGTATTCTTCCAGAAAACGATCATCATCAAGCTCATCTTCGAGGTCGTCCAGTTCTTCTTCAGTTTTGTCATCAATCCAAGACTTGTCTTTGGGCTTGGAATCTGGGTCCTCAGCGGGGGTGAAAGGAGGCGGCTTAAAAGCAGGTTCTTTTGGAGGAAGATTTCCCAATTTTCTTTGAATATCGTCCCATTGCGTTGAAGCTCCTTCCACATCTTTGTACACAAAATGATAATCCGCCATTGCTGCTCCTCCTCTTTGATTTTCAAGATTCTTCTTTCGTCTTTTTAATGTGTTTACTTTTGCAGACTATATTTATACTTTCGGTCCCTTTAGTTTGAGGGCAGTTTAATAGAATCTAATGTTATAAAATTTTTTATTATAGTCATTAATGTTTACTCTCTGTCGCCAAAATAAATAAATAGAAATACTCCACATCGTAAATCATGGATAATGATTCGTATAGGAACAAAATGAAAAGGAAAAATGACAAAGAATTGATTATAACCATTCATTTTTAACAATTTTCATTTGAGATTTAAGCATTTAAAGTTAGAGCATAGTATTAATGATTGACGACTTATTCCTTGTAAGTTTTCCTTTAAATTTTTTCTGTACGTATCATTACTCGTAAATTATAAACCTGCACTCCTTTAATAAAAAATAATTCACATTATAAATTTCTCTACTCCCTGTATCCTAAAATTATTATCCAATTTAGATTTTTACTTTTGGTTCAATTTGTACTAAAACTGAAAATCCAAACTAGACATAATTTCGAGACAGTTTAACACAAGAACTATTTTCTTTAAGATACTAAATATCAAACTAGGGAACATACCACCCTAGAGTCTAGACCAAAAGAATAAAATTTTGTAAGAAAATCTAAGTAGTGTTATAAAATAAATATGAAGAACTGTAGAGAAAGAACAATAGAAGGAGGGAACAAGTTGAGAGAGAAAGATAGAATTCATGTCTATATTATTCTGTGGAGACTGATCTCCTTTTATAGGCAAAGATACAAGGATAAGATCAAATAATGATAATATCTAACTAAATATTATGTCTGAACAGTTGATTCCTTGTATAACTCTTCTAACTTGTGGACATCCACATCAAATATTTATAACACTCCCCTTTGCATGTTCATTTCTTGGGACAATGATTCGTTAAAACCTTTACTAGGAAAAACCCATTGGGATAAAAATCTAATAAATGAAAAAGAGTGCATTCCCAGGTATGAACCTGCTTCATTAAAAACCTTTTCAGGAAAACCCATTTGGACAAAACCTCGATCACGGGAAAAAGAGTACAGCGTGGGATTACTCCCCCTGTTGAATACATCACTTGTGATCTTCTCACTGCATGCTAAAATGTTGACCAGTTTCACCAGTGTCAAAATCAATAATATGTGGATTTTCTAAATAGTCACTTCAGCTTTTTATGCAGACGATCATTTTCACATACTATGTATAATCTTGAGTGCTTCCGGAAAACAAAGATCCATAACCATCGTACACCGAATGTATCAATGTATGCAATATTTCAATGTATTGAGTAATTGATAAAATAAATCGATAATTTATATAAATTACACTATGGTACTTCAGGACCAAATCTATTTACATCATTATTCAAAAGCTAAAAAAGATCTTTATGCACATCATGATTATAATCAAGTGTGTCCAACAGGAGTTAAATATCTTCTCAAAAAAAAAAAAAAACAGGAGTTAAATATAAACATACTACGGTCAAACTAAGACCGAGATTATATTCAAAGTCAGCTTTCATTTTTCTTGTTTCAAGCAAATACTAATCTTTTGAATTTAGCAACCTTTTGAACTTCTTTAATTTTGAAGTCCCGATAACTATGATGAACTCTTCCAGAGTTATATTAATTTTGAGGTTATTCAAACTCCATAATGAGTTTTGATAATATTCAGCATTTTCAAACTCTTCAAGAGTTTAGTGTTAACTGAGTTCTAAGCACACATATATCATTATCATACATATACAATCATTTAAACGCAGGAAAAATCACAAACAAACATAACATATTCTGACAAAAACAAATATAGAGATGAGTACATAAATCAAAACATTCAAAGATATGAATCTAAATATTTGTCTAAACACATGAAGGCACTAGTACTAGCGCAAGTCTTTCGAATTACTTTCTCGAGAATCGGAACCATGTCCCTTATTAAATCCTTCAGTGATTTTATATAAAATTCCTTATCAAATATTATGTATCAAGTTTCAACTGACAAATTTTAAGTGATCACTACATTCAATAGACGCAATTTTATTTCTTCATTTGCTGCCAGAAGTAGCAAATCACAGAAAAAAATTTTCCCATCCACCACAAGAGAATATATCTCCTCATGAATAACATCCGGACTTTGAGAAAACTTGTGAAACAAGTAGGTTGCTCTCAATCATTCGCACAATCATCCAACAATATTAAGCTCGTATATTATTTGTCAGAACTTTTACAGTTCAAAGTAACTTCAATTCTACTTACACATCTTCTGGTGTGTGTATTGCGTATTTTAATTCATTATGGCCAAAAAGTTTAATGTCTGCACTCACAACAAACTTTCATTTTTATGATCCTCATTCTATTCTTTTTTATTAACTGCAACAGCATAAGCAAATTTTATGTCGACATTTTATTACCGATCGATTTCATCTTTCTTTAGTATTGAGATCTCACAATCATAAAGTTTTCCAAAATACCTATATTCTTCTTCTGGAAGTTTATTTACCATAGAGGGAAACTATTTAATTTCCAAGCTCTTCTAAAATTTTATCACTCGTATTTAGCATCTAAACAGATCTAAACATTCTTATTACGAGGATTTTTATTATTGGAATCGACGATTCTACCACTCATCAAATGGACATTAAATTAAACAATAGTGGTAGATGATTCTTCAGGGACGTAACATAAAAAGTTAAACATTAACAGCCTTTTGCATTTAATATAGTTACACATTTTGGTCTTGCAAATATCTGGTCTTAAACATTATCTCTTGAATTTCAGGTTCATATTATTGAGGATCTAATGAGATAATGATGTTGTCTATTTATGAAAAAGTTGTTTTCACTTCTCCCCCTGATGTTGAAATAACTAAATCGTCAAACTGATTGTCAGCTAATTGAGTAATAAATAGATCTCCTTTTGGAGTAACTAACTCGTTAAACAAACAATGAACCAATCGAATAGTAAAACCCAATATCAATAACCCTAAAGGTTGGAGGTTCAAAATCCAGCATATATTCTTAACCTCTTCTAGGGTCTCCATCTTTGTGTGCATCGTCGTGGAGTAATTAATATAAATCGCGCATCTAAATTTTGCAGATGGACATGTATGGTTTCTGGCAAAAAATCAATATTTGGGAGAATATCTATGAAAACCCATTTGGTCTTATACATATGATTGGTGCCTTTAGGTTTAAACACATCATTAATTGTATATATGAGGTATTTACTTTTCTTTTGAATACTTTTAATGAACGATTCTACTGGATCGTTTTACTTTTGCTTGTATATGCACTCTATGTTCAAGTTTTATCTCTGAAATATTTATTCTGGTATTGAGTCATACATTCACCAGAACTATCAAATAAAAATTCTCTCATTAGAGAATGTGAAAATACACACATAACTAAATTGAAGTATGTAGTTAACTTTCACAAACTCCAGGTTGCAAGTTAATGATAAACATACAAGTGGCTAACTCATTAGCACATTAGTTAATTTGTTAGAAGAAACTCCTGGTTTTCCAAATTTAAATCACATGAACTTAGTTATATCAAATGTGTAAGCTTGTTATAATCAGTAAACTTCTGGTTTGACTTGTTGGTACGAGAGGTGAACTTCTGGTTCCCTAGTAAACTTCGGATTTACAATAAAACCCATCAATAGTAATACATGAATAAGATTTTAAAAGAATACAAAGATTAAGACAATTTTTCTTCTGAAAATTGTATTTTTAATGTACAATCATATGAAAACAACTTTCTGATATTCGAAAATCTTTTCTCTAATCTTTTTGGCATTGGTGCAAAATCATTTTTTTCGTTTTATTTACTCTTCCAGAGCCAAATTCACAAATTCTCTTATAGAGATAGTAAAGAACTAATTATTCAACAATGTCAAAACAACTCTTCTTCATAAGAGCATTTACTCTAATGGAGTTTTATTTACTCTGCATGAGTATTGTTTAATCAGTTATTTTCGTAATACCAAAATATTTTTACTACCACACATATAAAGTATTATATAACTGATGCTCTACAGGACATTTCATCCAATTTTTTTGTTAAAACATTTCATCCAATTTTATTTATGGAGAAATGTACTTACATATTCCAAGTAGTTAGGGAGCATTCACATTATTGTATTTTGCCATAGCAAATTCTGCTCTTCTAGAGCTTTTGTCCAAATTTGTGGAGAAATTCATATAGATGCTCTACAGGAGCATTTAATTAATTTCCTTCTAACAAAGAATGATAACATTGCTTAAACTCATAAATCACATCGAATAAAAAAAATTACTAATAAAAAAAATTAAATAAACTACCACTAGATGTTTTCGTAATGAACAGATAACTAACATCACCTTCAGGATGATCATCCATAAAATAGTTCTGATTCTTGATTTGTTCACCTTCAAGGTGAATATATAACTAACATCCATAATAATATCATTAATGGCATAATGAACATCATCTTTCTCATTCTTGATAGAGAGTAGCAATATGGTCTTAGCATAGAATAGACAAGATTTAATAATCTTTTATCCCTTAACAAAAGCAATTTCTATCTTTTTCCTTTCGCTTTCTTCAACTTTCCAATCTCTGGTGGTTTATTTTATTTTCATTAAAAATTTGTCACTTCTGGTGATTCGAAAGATTTTTTTTTCTCATTACCTACTTGTAATTATATTTGGGACTTTAATTTATCCACTATTAAATTTCATGATAATCGCATTTACTTCAAGAAATGCAGTCGTCCAACTTAGACGAGTATATCATTATTTGCAACAAAACTCAATAGTTTGTTCAATACTAACAAGAATTATATAGCTACTTCATGAGCAACTTTCTAATTGTTTTTATTATTAATCTTCCACTTCAAGTGAAAAATATTATTTTTATACGTGACTACCATATTACATTAGATTCATTGTCACAACTTGACTCATAAAATGGCGTAGTTGTCCACTTGTTTCAGGAAGTGAAAAGTCTCAAAATTAAAGAGTATTGTGATTTCTTTAAACAAAACCATAATGGTGTCTTTAATAAAAAGATAATAATTTACTACTTCAAGAGCAATTCCATGTTATGGATATTTGAATTCTTCCACTAATCATTAGCCTTGTGTCATATCAATATAACTTTTATATTGTCTATTTTTATTCATATTTACCAATTCAGGTAGTCAATCTATATGACTATGATATTCTAACATATTCAAATTCACTTACTTCAGGAAGTGAAAGAAATTCCTTTGAATCTTTTCATGAAATTACTACTAATGGAGCTAATTCAATATACGAAAAATTTATAATAGAAAAGGCTACTACATGAGCACTTGGTTGTATCCAATATTACAAAACAAGAAAAAGCTTACCGCATTCCCTGGTCTACGGATCAAAATCAACTTACTCCCTGATCTACGGATTAAAATCTTCTCAGTTGGATCCGTACTCCCTGATCTACAGATTAAAATCTTCTCAGTTGGATAGAGAGTCGTGCTGATAACGTGTTATAAAATAAATATGAAGAACTGTAGAGAAAGAACAATAGAAGCAGAGAATAAGTTGAGAGAGAGATAGAATTCATGTGTATATTATTCTGTGTAGACTGATCTCCTTTTATAAGCAAAGATACAAGGATAAGATCAAATAATGATAATATCTAACTATAATAATATCTAACTAAATATTATCTCTGAACAGTTGATTCTTTATATAATAAATCTTCTGACTTATGGACATCCACATTAAATATTTATAACAACTAGAACCATAGTTTTTTTTTATTATTTTATTTTATGATAGTGTTATTCAATTAAATTCAATTTAGTAAGTCATAATTCTGTAAAAATCTGTTTTTCAAAAAATTCCTTTATTTTTACACTAGCTTACAGAATGTTGTACATATTCTTCCCGTTAGAAAAAGGGGGAAAATCGAAATGAATTCTCTTGCACGTAATCACCTCTAAGGAAAATCCTGCAGGCATTATGTATCATGATTCCTGAATCTGAATGTTCAATCTTCTCAGCCAAATGGAATGCACAATCATGTGAAAAATGTCAAATCTTTGGGGAGGATCATTAATAACAAAGTGCCTCTGAACTTGCTTCAACCTTCTATGCATTCTCACATACTGAGTCTGAGAAACACTCATTAGTATACTCTTGATGTTAGGTATGTCTTTCACGGCAATTTCAATGGAAAATGACTTCCAGTTGAGCACGTCGCTGAAAGGCGGTATATAGCTATCTGATATCAGAACCGGAATGCATTCTGCATAGATTGCTTCAACTACTCTTGGACTAGCAACCTCGTATCCACTCGGACACAGACAGAATCTGCTTGACCTCAGCATTGATTCGTACGAAACGCCTTTTGGGAGGTTTTCGTGTACTTGTATGTCGTTGTCTTTGTCTTTCCATTGGTTTAGCAGAAGGTACCTGATGTGGCCATGCAGTTTTCCAGCAAAGAATGCGAGAATGGATCGCTTTGAAGGCGAGGGACCTCCAATAAGTCCAGTGATTCCACCTGTTTTGAGATGGATTTCGGGTAGTGAAACATCCTTGAGTGGACTAAAGCCTTCTGATGTATTGGCGTTGCATAATACCCTGATGGAATTGTTGAATAAATCTGGAACATAAGTTGTTGAGTACGGTCCCTGAAAAAAGTGATCATGCGAAGACATGATTAATCAAAAAGGAAAAAAGAAGGTATTAAAAAGGAACTGTTTTCCTTAGTCTTTTTAGCTTTTTACTCACCCAATCATGGCAAGAAAGCATGAAATGATCAGCACCGAGACTGCGATTCCAGAAAGGATATTTACCAGATAATAGTCCTATATAATCAGCCAGGGTGTGACCGATAGCCCTTCTATCATGGCTGATAGGATCATACAAATATTGTACAAAATTCACAATACTAAAGGGCAAGAAATACACAAAGGCTTCATCAGGATCATTCGTACGATAAAAGTTTCCCTTTTCCATTTCATGGATGAACCTTCCTTCACTTGAGTATATACTCTTGCAAGGGCCATCATGGAAGAGTGGAGGTTCTCCTTCTTTATAGACATAAATCTTGAATACCTTCTCCATCTCTAGATAACTCCTGCAGTTAGTTGTTTTAGGTTGGAGTTTTAAATTAGCCTTCATAAGAATAACATATCAAAGAAAGAGGATGATAAGGGAAGCCTATATCGAACTGGAAGATGTACCAGTGAAAGGCATTCGCGTTCCAGTACATAGGACCTTGAGGGATGTAATCGGCATCTTCATGTGTTGAGATCATGCTACCATTTCGAGCAGCTTCCCTGATTGAAGACTTGGCTTTTGACAAAACAGTTTCCAGCCTCTCCAACTGCTTGTACCTCTTCATTTGTCGCGGCAATGGTTCTTTTTCTTCTTCCTCCTGCACAGGCAGCAGAATAGGACAGTCATTGACATAGGAATGAGTTTGTGCGGAAAATTGCATTCGCCGAAAGAAAAAAAAAGTTGTTATTCCAATGCATTAGGAGACTAGACCTGTACTGTCTTCGGTTGGAATGAACTGTTTTCTGCCTCTTTGTCAGTATGATCATATTTTAGCCCTTCTTTGTCACTGATGGATTTATGTGCAAATGAACTGTGCCAAGTAACCGAATTCCATGTAAATGGAGAAGATGTAAGTGAAGACAAGGTTCCATAAGGTGTGCAAATAAAAATCGCAAACAAAACAATAGGGATGAGTATGAGAAATGTGATTGTAGTAGAGGAGAAACCCAATGGGAAACAATGCGACTTTCTTTGTAACCGAAGCATCATCAATTTGCAGCAGTGGCCACTGCCCCACTAGCAAAAGTACAGCAACCAGAGTTTTGGACTGAAAAACTCACAAGAAAGTTCATATATACATGTAGTTGATTAAAATGCAGGATTCGTTGCTTCTCTCATAACATATTCCTTGCTGCCAGGAGCATTATTCCTGATCAATTGTTATGAAAGGAACAGAAAGTGACCTGTAACTTCAACTCAGAGGTTTCCACATGATGCCTTTTCCATAGTTTTTTCTGACGCATGGTTTCTTTAAAGTAATTTCTTTTAACTGAAAAGAGGAACAAGATCAAAATACACATTTGAATTCTTTAAGTAGCAAAACAGATTTTAACTTTTAGCTAAGACAGATACTTCGTCCTTGCAACTTTCTAATGCATCTCTGTGGAATTGATCCATGGATCCTTTTGATTTGATCGTTCCCATAAACTGGTAGAGACGTGTTAGGAACTACCCGCTTCAGATGTCATCAAACCCTATGGCTTCCTCGGTGTTCAAAAAGAACAAAATTAAAAAAAAAAAATCCAGTCAAGCATAAAACTAGAGTGAAAAAAGAGCAATCACAACCTGTTGTTCACGACAAGTGCAATTGGCCAAGTATATATTACTGATTTCTGAATCCCGCAAGGGATTTATTAATCTTATTACAAGAAAAAGTTAAAATATAGCACTTTCATCCCACCCAGTAAAAGTAAAACAAAACTGAAACTCTCCCATCATGAATAGGTGTATTATAATTCCCACAGAATTGAGACCAAACTGGATGAGTAAACAAGTCGAAAATTCACTACAATATGTCTAGCAATGCCTCTCGTTTCACCGGTTGGTACAAACATAGCCGCAAAAACAGAAGTATGTGCCCAGAAAAGGCGAAGTGCATGATGATGTTGAGAAGCTACAAAACCATTAATCTTGTTTATTCACATTCATTGATGAGTGGTAGGAATGTGAAATAAAATTCCAGGACTACAAGTGTATTGTTCAAATATCGAGCAGCAACCTACGGGGATCCTCGACCACATCCTTGATCCTTCTCAGGAAAAGTACGGCCTCTCTGCCATCAATGAGCCTATGGTCATAGGTAAGAGCGACGTACATCATCGGTCTTGGAAGAATTTCACCTCCAACGACCATTGGACGATTCACAATCGAATGCATACCAAGAATCGCAGACTGCAATTACGGAGCCAATCAATAAGTTACAAAATAATACAGGTGAATAGATCAAGAGAGAAACGGCAGACATTCAAAACTGGTCCCAGAGATTAGGAACATTAGAGAGAGTAATGTCATCCCTAGAAATGCTAACTGATATGGCACAGATGAAAAGACACATACCCTGTTTTTACATTTCCCTTTTCCAGAACCGAATGGTTAGTTTATGTTCTAATGTGTACCACATCAGTAATTGGAACTTTCACATAGATTTACACTCCCTTGTTTGAAAAGACGTACCTGAGGAGGGTTGATGATTGGTGTACTCAAAAGACTCCCATAAACACCGCCATTTGAAATGGTGAAGGAACCTCCAGCCATCTCATCAATTGAGATAGTTCCGTCATTCGCTTTCTTGGCCAACTTGTTGATCTCCTTCTCAATCTCAGCAAAGTTCATCTGATCAGCATTACGAATGACTGGAACAACGAGGCCCTAATCATGCAGTAAATGTTGCTATCAGACAGTCATGAATAAGATAGTTCATATGTATAGTTTGCGTTAAACTAAATACAGCAATATGCATAGTTTGTGTTAAATTAAATACAGCCATACAGAAAGAAAATGGCGGACGTAACAAAGGAAGGATCAACATCATTCTGGAAAATGATTAGGCTAGTTTTATGAGCAACATCAATATCATGAAGCAAATGAAATCAGATACAAAATGGGGAAACCAAGTAATAAATTTACATCTTACAGCAACATACTTCACCATTCCGTACTTAAAGATTATTCAAAGCAGAAGTCTGCCACATAAATTAGAGTCACAAGCTTTATTCTTGTTTAACCCGCCAAAGCCTTTGCAGAAATCAAGAAATATATTTTAATAACCTGGCAGGAGTGTAGAAATGCTAGAACCAAAAATCAAAGCACCAGTAGACATAGAGACTGAACTATATTCCTGAAATCAAGGTTATTCAGGGAACAATTGTCATCTTACCTTTGATGTTCCAACGGCGATACTGATGTCTATATAATCTCTATAGATTATATCATCACCATCAATGACAGCATTTATTATAGGTTGGTTTTGGAGTCCACTAACAGCAGCCTGCACAATGAGAAAAAACCATTTAGATAATAAAAAACAAGGAAACGTATAAACAGTCAAACAATAAGCATGGACATTTGCATACTTTCACAAAACCAGACATAAGACCTAGCTTCACCCCATGCTTTTCAACGAAGGCATCCTTGTACTCTGACCGAAGCTTCATCAAATTTGTCCTGCAAAAGGTACAGGGTTCAAAAAAAAAAGGGTGTAATATCAATTTTTCTTCCTACACATAAAAGTCATCTTACATGTCAACTTCGTTGAATGTTGTCAGCAAAGCAAAAGTATTCTGAGAATCCTTTAAGCGTGTAGCAACTCGTTTTCTCAGCCTTGTCATTGGAACCTGTTGTAAAGAATGATTAGAGACATTGTAAAAGAAATTTGATTTCCCATGAATAAAAAAAATTCAAAGAACTTATATGCTTGAATGGATGTTATTATTTAGCAAGACAAGGAGGATCTTACTCGTCTTTCCCTTTCTTTTGGAGGAAGCTGAGGCTCTGTAGCAGAGGTCCTTGAGGGAGCCGGAGAACTCACTGAAGGTTTTGGCTTTTCCTCTTGCTTTGGCTTCACAGCTGGTGATTCCACCACCTTTTGCTCTTTTTTCTCTTCCGCAGGAGGCGCACGAGGAGCAGTTTCTTCGGAAGGTTTCTCAGATGGAGCAACATGGTCAGCAGGCTCAAATCCTTCACCAGATTTTGAAATAATTGCAATCTTTGTACCAGGTTCAACAGTATCCCCTTCCTTAGCCACAAACTCTTTAATTACACCAGCTTCGGGGCTAGCAACGTCAATAGTAACCTTGTCAGTTTCGATCTGTGCGATTGGTTCGTCAACTTCAACTCTTTCCCCAGGTTTCTTCAAGAAGGTAGCCAATGTTCCATCCGTAATTGATTCTCCCATAAATGGCACAACAGCATCAACCAGATCACCTAACCGATAAAAAAACAGATGAAGGGAAAACATCAAATGGCATTTATGTAGAGCAATCACGAATACTTGATCAAATACAACAACAATAACAAGAAGCCTTTTTCCCACTAGGTGGGGTCAGCATTTGATCAAATAATTTAGCTAAATTAGGAATAGCATACTGAAAAATGCTGCAGCGACTATGGAAAATGATATCATTCAGGATATCAATACCAGCAATCAGAATCAAGTTATATAAAGATTTAAGAATAATTGCGTTTTGCACTTAGCGTAAGAAAATTTTTAAAAAATAGGTTTCACAGGAAAAAATAATTTCCCCAGTACACCAAAATAAGAGAACTAAAAACTATGTAGTGAAGGGCTGGAGGTTATTAGCAGGAGTCAGGACAGAATTGAGTTTTACAGAAGACGGAAACTTTGAAAGACACCACATACTATATATAACATACAGAACTATAAGACTCAAACCGCTTGTTTCAGTTAATATCTCTAGCATTCAGGCATTAGAAGATATGTAACAACAATCCGAAGCCAATCACGAAATGACGATATTCAAAAACATACGACAAAACTATACATCGGTCAACAATTTTATAACGACTAATATGATGTGAGAACAATAAGAAGAAATACAATATTCAGAGCACATAAATCGATAGAAATTACTATCATACCTCCGTTGGAACAGAAGCTCCGGTTTTGCATCTGCCATGATATCATAGGCTGGAAGCTGGTCTTGCTTGCTCTGAAAAAAATAACATTTCATGGTTCATAACCCAAACGTATCTTTACTACTATATTTTGAAAATGGTAAATGGATAATTGCTAAAATTGAGAGAAGTTTCTAACCTTGCTGGCCTTGAAACAATTGAGTTTCCTGCTTGATAAGATTTAAAAAGTGATTCAACAGAAGAGTTGCAAGATTAGTATCTTATCATCAAAAAGGAGAATAGAAAATTCAACAGCTTAAAACTCACCAGACAAAGTAAGATAAGAAAGTTCATGAGAACGATTCATTTGTGGCTGCAGCAAAATTTATTCGTATCAATTTCAGAAGATCAATTGACATCTGATGAAATATAATAAAAAAGAATAAAAAAACAAAGAGAGAGTAAGAAACAGAAAAGAGGCTTAAACAGAACATCACGGAAAAGAAATGACCTGGAATTACAATACTGTTGTATCTAGATTTAACTTGAGCTACTTGTAAGTTTATAGTACAGGTCTTCATCGGAGTTTAAACCGCCTTCGGTTTTTAACTCATGCTGTACTATTAGTATTAATACTACTCTCGACTACTCCCTCCATTTCAAAATATAAGTCAGTTTAGGTTTGGAGAAATATTTCAAAATAAAGCCGTTTTAGGATTTCAAGGCAAATTAATGACTAGCTTTCCAACTTTGCCCTCAATAAATGATGCCAATACCTTTTTATTAGTGATTTATAAGAAAACTCAACTTGCTCAATCAAAATGAGTTCATTTTAAAGGGCTACAGTAAGGTGTCAACAACACCATTCAGTGTCCCGATTGAGCTTACAAAGTTTCACCTTTTGGTTGTATGTCCTCCACAAAACCACTATAATAACAGAGATAATTTCTTCCCAAAATTACACCCATGCCCGTTATGAGTTGTACTGAGCTTCACATAAACCACAAAAAATATCAGCTTACTTAGACTCTTTTAAGGATATATCTAAGAAAACCAAGGCAGTTTTATAGTAAAACTATAAAACAGATAACAAGATATTAATTCAAATTAAGCATAACTTCATTTCATCACTCTCACAAAAAGATAATAATAAAACTGCACACAGGTTGCATCAATTCGATTAAGCCATGGAAAATGGCACATCCTTTCAACATGAAGAACATCTAAAACCATTAGGCAACAGCAAAAACAAAAACCGATTACCTGTCCTTGCACAGCATTGCACGCTCTGGGTTCAGAAAGCGCAGATCGACATGAATGTATTGATCTCCTTCGAATCTATTCCAAGACATAACAACAAGAAAGCATTAAAATAAATTCAATCCCATAAAAGTAACTAGAAGCAGAAGAGTATGCGTTAACACGAACTAAACAAAGAATGAATATCTTTTTTCCATGGCATACAACCATATGAAGAAATTAAAACGCTAATGAACGGAATCATGAATAATTACCAAGGAAGAAGAGGCGCCTGAAGCGACTTTGCGCCTTATAATCCCCAGCATTGTAAGTTTGCCTTAAGACCGTTTCCTAAACTGGCATAAAAATTCTTGATCATTACATTAAACAGAAATAGAATAACAGTAGTAAGGAAAACAATAAACTTGTTCCATACCAAAATCGAAACGAAAGAAAAGATGAGAAATTTCGTATTACTAAGGAAAGAAAATGTTCTTTTAACAATTATCACTCGTGTTGAAGTCCACAAGCCTTTTCATATAGACACCTTTTGGTCTATTCTCTTGTTTTTCTACATTCAAAATATACCATTTTGGAACGGAAAGTTTTTCACATTTGCAATGCACTAAAATTGATACCGAACCACAAAACAAGATCAAAGTGCAGCCGGTCCCCAGATTTTTCCCAAAAAAAAAAAAAAAGAAAAAAAAAATCTAAATCAGAGAAACTGAATCAAGTGATAGAAGCTTGACAAAATCCGCTCAACCATACTGGCATATAAATCCATTCAAATCAGAACAAACAGCTACCAGAATAGAACATTCAAGCACATAGAGAACTCCTCCGATTGAAAACCCACAAACTCAATTAGTCTGATTTACCGAAATAATAGAACTCAAAACATGGGATGCAAGTATGGAAGAGAAAAAAAAAAGAGAGAGAAGATCAAATCGACCACAAATCTAACGAAGCCGAGCAAGAAGGAATTCACTAGGGTTCGCAGAATTTACCCGTTTGGTTCTTCAGATTGGGGTTTCGGAGATTTCTTACTTTGATGCTTTGAGTTTGATTCGAGCGCCTTCCAGCTTTGACAAAATGAGGTTTTCCCTTCTTTTTTACCTTTCTCTGTGTTTTGGAAGCTTCGAATCTAAATACTCCAAATATGCAGCATACCTAGTATTTTTATGCATAAATAAATAGAAATAAATGTTCGGGGAAATGACAATAACAGACAAGTGACGATAGCAAAACTCGTCTGATTAATAAAGGCAATTTTGGAATTCAAATTAGACGCTTTTTTATGCCTTACACGTTTATAGATACCCATCGGAGAGAGGGCACTCATAAGGTTACAAGTGTTTTAATGTCGCTATCGCCGACTAGATTTGTCATCAAAAAAAAAATTATATATATATATATATCCTATTATATTAGAAACAAAAACTTCCCTTTCAAACAACTCATATGATTGCGTGGCGTATAGAAATCTTAAATCGCTTTTTGTCTAAACCATAACTAAATTACTAAATCTCCTACTATATTAAACAAAACCTTCCTTTCAAACACCTCATATGATTGCGTGGCGTATAGAAAGTCTTAAATTGCCTTTATCTAAACCATAACTAAATTACTAAATCTCCCGTTGCACTTTACTCCGACACGTTTTTTTAAAAAAAAATTTTCTTTATGTTTCATTCATTTAGAGTAGTTTTTAAGTTAAATTGATCAATTAGGTTTTGTTACAAAGTGTCAATTTTGTTTTAAGCGTATACCTGCGGATGAAGGCTTATTACAAAGCTATTAAAAATCTCCAAAACTAAGTATTGATTTGGCACGACCGAACATCAATAAATCATCTTACTAATATTTAAATTTATTAGGATGTTTTTATATTTTATCTAACATTTACTTCAATACATATATTCGACTAAGGCTATTTATATTTAATAAGTAACACTTATAAAATATTTCTATAACTTACATGGCGAAATACAATTTCTTTTTTTTTTTGTGAAATACAATTATTTCTATGATCACACTTATAAAACATTTCTAAATCCTTCAAACATTTCTAAAATATATCGCTCCAAATACAAAATTTTATTTTTTTCAAATATAACTATTTCTAAGATTTACAAATAGACTGGGCCAGAGTCGCGCGTTGCGCGACCAGACATCACTAGTATATATATATAGTGGTAGTACTTAAAATATTGTTGTACTCTTATTTAAACTTTATAGTTATTTTTATTATTCAGTTTTACTTGGTTTTCCAAACATTTTATAAACGATTAATAACAATGATGACAATTAGTAATGGAAGACGAACTTTTGTTGCAATCATGTTCAAACAACATCATTTTTGAATTCCAAAATGAATGTTAAATGATTCTGGGAGAGAGAGTAGCTAGTTATTGGTAGTTTGCTACCAATGAATTGACTTCTGAAGATTTACAAATCATACTCGTTGATATCTAAAAAGAGCTTCTTTTAGTTCTTGCTCTGCAACTACTTTAGATGTAGGTTTAAATACAATGTATGATGCCCGAGATTCAACGGCTTCAAGGCCCCTTTGTTCCACAGGAAAATGCCTTTCTACCCCATGAATGGTCCTGTCGATGAAGTTTGACCTCGGTAGATAGTCTCTCAAGCGACACAGAAATTCCAGATGATCCCTTTCCTAGACACCCATAAAACAAAAAGGCAAAAATGATGAGCACAACTGGAACTCAAAAGATCATAGTCATTGTACATTACTGTTACTCAAAATGATCCAACCGCTTGGCTATTTTGCTAGATACATCAGACAGACTCGGATGCTGAAGGTTATCGGACAAACTCAACTATGATCATGAACCACGCATACATGCCAGCATTTGTATTTTTAACAGAAATGATTCCACTGTAAGAAACTGGTTCATGAGGATCTACCACTATCACTGAATAAAAAAGTGTCCTATTCCTCAGTGAGTGCACCAGAGCACGGTTTTTTCAGTGCAGACAGCCTGTCCTTTTCCTTGGAACAGATTCCACATTGAAAACATCTAAGCAGTAAACATGGCTTCGACGATTAATTAGCGTCTATTCATACAAGTTCCAAACAACATACATGCATTTTCCTTGCAGAGATCATCAGAACTATTTGGTACAACAAGATAAATAAATAACTAGCATAATAATGTTATATTGCACCTTTCGGTATTCAGGTCCTTGGAAGTTTGAGATAGGCCATGTTACTAACATCAAAGTCCCAGAGGAAAGATGTATGATGTATCCATCGTGTTTTTGTAATTGATTGCGCATTCCCACCAAATTTGCGGCTGCCAAAAACATAATCTGAGAGCAAATTAGAAAAATTCTGGGATATGAATCATGATATCAGTTAACCACATCAATCTCACATGAAAAGATCAAGTGGAAGCTACTGTGTTCGGTTCAAAACATTGTTTGAACTGACAATAAGAACAACAACATGCAGAAAGTGAAGCAAAAGGAAGGAGAGGGGGGGGGGGTGGTTGGGGGATGGTTCGGCAATTCCTGTGTACCTAACTGTGAAGGCAGCAGAGAAAGAAAAAAATAGTATTTAAACTCCAGGACTCAATGTCCGAATCAGATATAGGGAAGGGCAATCAGTCAGAACTAGAAGGCAATCAAACGATCCGCGATATACATGCAATATATGACCACAAATGGAAATCATGGAGATGACTAATTTTCATCTCAGTTTCTAGCAACTGCACCAAGAGGAGTTAACTACCAGAACATAAAGAGTGGAGCAACTGACTATAACCATGACAAAGTTGACTTCCAAGTGAAAGAAAGAATTCATACACTTACAAAGCTCAAGGCATTCCTATGATTAATGAATAAGAAAGTTTCTTAGTCTGGAAACTCAGTGACAACTTTGATTGGACCTTTTCTTTCATATAAAACCATGGGAGCTCAAAGTAGATGTTGGCAATACCATTCTCACAAAGGCTGAAATCTCCAACTTGACGAAACACGTCATCATATATTAAGCTACTCCATGACATAATGGGTCCCGGATAAGGCTGAACATCTGGAAGTGCATCTTTGTTGCATATGAAGGAGACAAATACAGTGCTGTGATCAACGATGACAGTGCCGCCTCCTGTAAACCTTCGGATAACAGCAACCTTGTCTTGCAAGACAGAATCGATTTTCAGAAGTTCAGCAGGTCTCCTATTGCAAAAGATTCATGTAAAAATTAACTTTCTTTTTCCCCATTACTTTATGATGGATCCACAACTGAGGAAGACAAGTGTAGACGTGGGTTATGGCTGCATCAGGGTTTCAAGTTGCATCTTCCTATTAAGTCACAAAAGAAAGCTGTCTGGGATATAGTCTGTAATTCTCCATATTAAAAAAACTGAACTAAACAGAGAGAAGACAGATTATGCTCTTTTGGAAATGATTTTGGATGAAGGAAATAATGCTCTTTGGAATATCATTGGGATGAAGGAAATGCCTTGCACAATATCAAGTGTTCATGCTCCACAGTTTCTGGATAATATTACTCTTAGGTTAAATAACTACAGAAATTACAAGACCCTTAACTTCATAGATTGAGTTCCTATAAGAAAATCAAACATCCTCTCATATCTTCCCTTTCATCATAACCCTACTGACTTGCAGCAATTTGATTTCAGCAAATGCAACTTGTTAAAACATATATAGGCCAATAGGAGAATCTGAAACCTAGGTACACAGCTTGAGAGCAAATGGCATTTTATGGAAAAGGTTAACTACAACTAAACTCACCGTTCCAATTACAAGACAGCATGAAAAGCACAATTGAAATCAACAGACTACTGATTAGCAAAATCAAGAATTACCCTGAAGCTCCCATTACTATATTGCGATCCTCCGTTCCATCATTAATAATGCACCAATTATCTGATGTTGTCCGGAGCAGCCGTTCCTCTAACATCAACTGTTGCAAGATGTGCATTCCTTTTACTCTGAGCAAATTCAATGCCGGAAGTCCAAGGTTTCTGCAACTGTATATCGCCATTGACGACGAGCTGCTCTGAGTTAAGATCAACAGAGAAATAAGAAAATAGTACTAGAAAATCCCAGATGAGGTTCAAGCTAGATATACGCCATTAACTCAAAATTTCCGAACTGAAAAGGTTGGATTTTGGTAAGAGGAGGCGGAGGAGGAGAAGGTATATACTCGGCGGCAATGGCGACGGAAGAGTACTGGTAATCAGTAATTTATTTATTTATTTATTTTGGAGTTATACAAGGGTTAAATGGGTATTTTGGGAAATTTGGCCAAACAATTTCAACCGCTCCTTCCGTTTGAATTACTTCCTCTTCTTCCTTTCCACAACTTGAGATCAAATTTCATGAAGCCCAGAGCAAGAATCAAGTCGATTTCTTCTCATCTCTGTTGAATTCATCTCCACAACCGTTAATCACTGCTTACTGCAACTGGGGTTTTGTGCTTATTCCCATTTTCTTCAACTGGGTTCAAAGAACTGGCAAAAAATTTGGCAAGTGGGAAAAAACTGCCAATAAAATAACCACCACCAGGGACAAATTCCCTAACTGCCATGTCCTCTTACTTTCAATTCGAACTTGTTACCTTCCACAGTTCTTTTCATCCTCTATTCACTTCCTCTATGATTGATCAAAATGTTGTTTCCATGTATCAAACTACTTGTTATCTCCATTTTCACCGCCTCTGTTTTCCCTCCCTTTGCTCTGCTTACAAAACCTGGTAATGGCATTTCGAATTTTTCAGTTTCATGAGGTTGTTCATTTGATTCTAATAATAAAATCAAGATTTTTCACCTGTTAACGTTGTACTTGCAGAGAGTAGTGCACCAATGCTCCCCAGTTTTGCTTTCAGTTGGTATTACAATAATGATAAGTTTGCGGCCGGGGACGTTGTGAGCATTAAGGTTAAAGTGTTGGGAAGGTTTGATAGCAGTAAATTCAAGCACCCTTTTGATCCTAACATCACCATCAACAACAGGGTGGGCAACAGTTCTTACATATCTGGAGTTTCCTCGTTTTTCGATGATGATTTCAACACTTGGAGGATTTCTTTCATCCCCATTATGGCCGGATCGTTCAATGTGCTGATTACTGATGAAAATTTTAATGTACTGGATTCCTCTCTGCACTTTCATGTCATCCCTGGTTAGATTGAGTTCTTTTCATCCTCTGAATATGTGCCTTTTTGGGTTTTTGGTTTATTTCTTTGGTTCTGATTTTGTTGCTTTGTAGGGAAAATGTATCCGGGTGCTGGAATTGTGTCTTGGATGGGTGGAGTAAACGAGTTTGTGGCTGGAGATATTGCTACAATTCTGATACTCCCTAGAGATGCTTTCGGGAATAATATATCTTCTGAGGCTGAAAAAACGAATTTTGATGATTTCTCTGTTTCATCAACTACTTTGAATGGTTCTGTTGTTAGTACTCTTAACATCAAAGACAAGGGATGGACTAATTTTGGCTACCTCAGGTTTGAATTTGTTGTGGCAACTTCTGGAAACCTCTTGCTTCAGGTTCAAGTGCAAAACCAATCCTTGATTGGCGTACCCATGCCCTTCAGGGTGATCCCAGGTGATTAAGGATTGCTGGAAAATCGAAAATGATCATTTGACATATTTGATGCTGATTGAGTTGCGGTATGAATTTTTTACTTTTTTCATACAGGGGCCTTGGATGTTGCCAATTGTTCAGTGAGCTGGCATTCTGAAACAAAATCCTTCCAACTGTTTTCGATGATGGAAGGTTTTATACACCAGCATGATCAATATGGAAATCTTGTTCCCGGAATCTATGAATTTGATGTTGAAGTTGTTGAGAAAGGGACAAATTTGTCAATGCCGGTGTCGGATTTGGTTTTTGAGGAGGTTTCACATGGTATTCAGTTGTTCACTTTCAGTCTCATGGAGCCAGGAAACTTCACTCTCTTGATCCTTGATAAACAGCAGAATATTTTGATCTCCAATGTGCCATACGACTTCAACGTCTACATAGGTGTTCCTCCAAACTATGCATATGCTTGGCTTTTTCTTGTTGGGTGTATATACATTGGTCAGAATTGTGGTATAACTGTTTTCTGAATATTGAATTGGACAGGTTATTGCCATGGAATCAACAGTGTAGTTAATGGTTCGGGTCTAAACAACTCTGTCGCGGGTGAAGTAGCGAGCTTTGCTGTGTTTTTAAGAGATGCTTATCAGTACCCTTCTCCTGTTGAACTAGAGAGATTGCAAGTGAAAATTTGGCATGAAATGACTTTGCAACAGTTACAGGCTACTGTAAGTCCTCAGAAAGCTGTGAATGGTATGGAAAAACATTGGTTTTTGATTCGGTGTGCTCCGCATTTGGATTCAATTGTAAAAGTGGATTGACTTATGTTCCGTATCAGGGACTTATCATGATGGGATATTTCTTACATCAACTCCTCCTCCAATTGTTCATGCAAAGAATAAGGTGACCTTGATTAATTTTTTCTTGACACAGTTATGTTTCACATTGCAGATGATTAAAACTGTTATTATTGGATGCAGAGTAACGAGAATGCAGGATTTAGGACTAGTGCCTTTGAGGTCACTTTTGTACCTGAAAAGAGCGGAATACATGAAATCACTATCTTTTGTGGAAACATTGCATTAAATGATGGGCATCCATTCAGAATGGAAAGTAGGGCTGGTATATCAAACCTTCACTGTACCTTTAAAAAAGTTCGCTTTTGGTTGACATTCTTTCATGTGAATATCTCTTTATCGCTGTTCCAAATGGTTACTATAGTTGTTACAATATTGATTAAGGAAGTTTTGTTCTAAATTTGACATTTTATGGGCTTGATTTTAACTGGCAGAGTTCATGGTTGTATTCTTTCAGGTAAGGTTAATTTATCCCTCTCAGGGATAGCAAATATTACTCAGAAAGTGGCAAAGCTGACAAAGAATGAGCTACTAGTGCACCTCATGGATTCTCATTATAACCCAATTATGGCGCAGCAGTCAAAGTTGAAACTTGAGATGGCTTCACTTAATAGATCAGGTTTTCGGACAACAATGTTTGTTGATAACAATGATGGATCATACTCTTGTAGCTACTTGGCAAAGGATGTTGGTACTTTTGAGATATGTGCTTCATTCGATGGAAAACATTTCATGCCTTGTCCTATTGGCGTAAATGTTTATACAAGTAAGTTTGCTTGAACCTGAAAAGAACAAATATCCAGGATTCTGTAGTCCTGCAGTTCTTAGTTCAATAGCCGTGTTTGTTTTTGCAGGAGAGTATTTTCCTCAAGTTTTCAATGATACTGTCACAGTCTGGGAGGATGAGTCAACTGCATTTGATGCTCTAGAAAATGATTATTTTGCAGGTGGCAATGCAACTGTTTTAGAATATTCAGCGGTAAGCCAGATAGTATTAGAAGTTGTTTAGTATTTTTGAACAGTGTTTCATTTTGAATCAGAATATTAGATACTTTCCCATTTGTGGAAGACTTACAATGCTGTAAATGAAACTTGGGGCAGCCACACTATGGTTCACTTCTACAGTATGGACGGCTATTCAGATACACGCCTTATAAAGGATTTTATGGAAATGATTCTTTCCTGTATACCATATCCGATTTAAATGGCAACCATGCTTCTGGTTTGGTAAATATAGCTATCCTCAGTGTTCCACCTCAGCTCTCTCTCTTCCCTAGTCAATTGCAAGGAACTGAAGATCTTGTTAGCCCGAGATATGGGTATGCTGGTAGTTTTTCTTTTTCTTTATGTTTTTCTTTGCTTTTGTTTGGTTATTCTGAAAAGCTGAACATATCTCAAGACTGTTTATTGAGTTTTGGACAATATGAAGCTAGTAACATAATCTAATTTTTGCTAGTGTGTTCCTCTTTGCAGTGGTTTCTCTGGGTTTGAGTTGGCATACTCAGATTTGACTGAGAACATCACTGTTATTCTAAATGCAAAACATGGAACTGTCTTCCTATCTCCCTTGATTATGCAGTTTTGGCAGTCACCAGGGTGTGAACTAATTGTAAGCCGAGAAAATCAGGACTCTGGGGAGTTGAGTATACATGGTTGTTTGGAAGTAATCAATTCTGCCCTTCAAGCAATCCAATACTCTGGGTTAAATCTCTGTCTTTATTCCTCTTCATACTTAAAGATACTAAGGATGGAAAATTTGTAGAAAAGATCATGAATCAGTAGAGCCGGATATCTAATTGTTTTCCTGAAGCAGGACTGAGAATTTTTACGGGGAGGATTCCATTGAAATCTCTACTATGAACAGAAATGGGATGAACAATGTCAAAGTTCCTATCTTTGTGGATCCCATCAATGATCCGCCATTTGTAAGCGCTCCACCCTTTATTTTCCTTCAGGATTCAGGCGATGATCAAGTACTTATTTATGACCGAAAGAGAGACAAATTTGATTTTGTCGTTGGTGATCCTGATCTTCTAAATTATCCTGGTAGGGAAACACGCAAAATGATTCTGATTCCGCCTGTTTTTGGGTTTTTCAAGCGATCTTGATTTGTGCTCATAGCTCAAACTTATTTTGTAGGTAATAGGTCTCACTTTCTGGTGATGTTCTCTTTGGAAGTTAGTTCTGGTTACATATCAACAAGCCTTCCAGTTGATCTTATTAGTACAACTGAACTGAAGTTTAAGACAAGTTACCAGTGGCAGCCACTAGTAACATTTGTCACCATCTCCAAACATTTCCTGGTAAAAGCGAAAGGAATCAGATTCCGGGGGACTATTGACGAATGCAACAGCATAATGGAACAACTCATGTATAGTGTGAGTATATTAGTACATCATCTCGACACCGACTGAGATCATTGGGAAGTGAGATCATGATTGTTTTAGCTTTTCATTAGCTAAATAGGATTAACAGCAACTTCTGCAGGGTGACAAACATGGTGATGTCTTGACTGTGAAAGTAAATGATATGGGGAGCTATGGCTGTTATCCAAACTGCGACCAGATGACGTCAATGCCTCTCTTTGCTGAGGCGACTATAAATCTAATCAGACGGCAACCCATGAGTTCGTTGCTAGCCCATAGTAAGTACTACCAAATGTGACAATTTGGTTCCTTTATTCCCTGAATTGTATTAAATTTGATCTTGATATCTACCTTTGGATGTGCTTTCATAAAGCTCTTGGATCAGCGGTTGTGGTTGAGTTCATTGCGCTACTGTTTCTTGGCGTGGTACTTGTATACTTCACCTGCAGATGCGCTGTTGTGCTCATGCGTGAAAAGAGGAAGAACGAAATACAGAACATTGAGCTCACTCAAGTTGGAACATCGGATAAACAAGCTGTGAGCTCTCTTTCCTAATGCTTCAGAAAGTTTTCTCTCCTGTAGTAGGCACCAAATCTATTGCTCTTCATCCCGGATTATTTTTCAGCATAATCTCTTGGATTCAAGTGAAGGGTTATCCTGGATCACGGCACCCTTCAATGACTGTTGTTCCACTCGTTTCTTTAGTGGCCGCGGCCAGGCACTTTCTCCAGGGTATATTGTTTTGTTTAAAACTAAACTTGTCGCGGCCAGAAATGGCAGTTTGGAAAACTATTTTACTACCCTTAACAACCTAATTTGAAAACTTGATCTGCAGGTCACATAGTCCAACTAGAACCAGGGAAAGTAGCGAGCAGAATATGCAACGTCCTTCACTGCAGCTGCAGCAGCTTTCAAGTGATGATGAGTTTGTAGTTAGTGCTTCATCAGAGGATGCAACAGCTTAATAATCTGATTGATTACCTTCCACTATTTTTGGATAGTAGACAATATATTTTACGTGCTAAGCAGACTGCTAGCTGGTTTTCTTCATCGTTTGATCATTAATATTTCATGATCCTCAGCTTGTGCTCGCTTTGTACAAGATGAAGATTGAAGTATGAAAAGTGGCCCAAATCAGTGTGAATTCTACAAAGCTTAGTCAGCTGGCTGAAAGTATAGGTTTTAGTGTAGGAATTACATGTCAAACTGCACGTAACTGCGTAATTCTCATGCACAGATTCACAGCAGAACTTTTGAGGCACTAATGTTGGGTTGATGAATTCGCGTTGGAAAATTGTTCTATGCGGTAGCTATCTAGCTACATTATTCATGGATCCTAGCAGTTGGCTGAAATTGAAATGGAAGGTATACATAGTCAACAGATGATGGAAGCCAAGATAAATATAATATCCAGGGAATTGATAAAACCTTCATCTCCAACTTCCCATTAAAAAACAGACCTTAAAACTTTCTCTACTATTAGCTTTGAACTGAATGTTTTCATCCCTCTTCTTTTCTTGTACTCAAAAAGGTCCGCCAAATGTCAATCCTTCCATAAGGCATTTAAAGAACAGTCTTTACCGGTGTTTAACTGCATTTGACCCAGTGAGCAAGAAAGCTGAAATCAAACTAAACTTTCTCAAGTAGTTCAAAATCCCCCCATTTGGAATATTTTGGACAATATCTGTCAATGGGGCCATTCTCTACTGGTAAGTGGCAATGATGATAAATTACATCAGTTGGGTTTGAATGTGGAAGCAATGCAATCGGACTATTGGAGTCTTCCACAGAGTACATTCATGAATCCACGGGTTGCTACAGAAACGTGGTGATAGTAGTAGCAAATCATTGCAAAAAAGTAGTACCAAATTTGATGCTATTTCTGTTTTAAAATAATCCCAAAGATAATAAAGGTGGAAGTCGCGAACAAGCAACGGAATAATCAATTTGGAAAGTTCTTTTTTTATCAATTTGGAAAGCAAGGGGTAGAAGGTTTTTAATGAAAGGTTAATGATGTTCTGGGAAATTCGCCAAATTTTGCAAACGGCCCGTACATATATATAGCTAAACTCATTTCTCCCCTTTTCAATTTCCTAAGGCAATTCCTGGGGATTGTATGAACTCATCATTATGCTCAGATTCATCTTCCTCTCGTCCAAACTAAAACCCAAATCAAACTCTATTTTCTCTTCCTCTCACCTATCCGATTCTTGCTTCGGTAACCCAGCAAGTTCACCCTTAAATTCAAAACTAGCAAGAACCCATTTTTCTTCCCTTTATTCATCTGGTTTTCTGGTGAATTCATCGAGGACTGCAATATTGGGCCAAAATGGAAGTGGGTTTTCTAGTCCTTGGAATTTGGGGCACGGAGCGAAGAGCTTGTGTAGTGGAGGGGAAATCAGGAGAGAGTCCATGGACTATGATGTGGTGATCGTTGGGGCTGGACCAGCTGGATTATCATCGGCAATCAGATTGAAGCAATTGTGTCGGGAAAAGAATGTTGATCTTTCAGTTTGTGTAGTGGAGAAAGGAGCTCAAGTTGGTAAGGAGTGTGGCGTTTTGCTTCGATTTATTTAGTAATAAGCTTATTTTGTAAAGTTGATTCTTACTGTTCCATCGCTTTCATCAGCCAACTTAAGAAGTGCTTTTTCGGGGAAACTTTAAGCATTGTTGGGGTGTTGGAACTTTATTACTCTTGAATTTTGCTTTTATCATCTATGTTTAACGATCAAGAAAATTCAATTCTTGGTGTTAGAAACTAGCCATTAGATGATTATGTGGTTGACTTGTATATATTGTAATAACTTTCTGAGGCACTGAGAAATTGGGGATGGGGTCAAGCACAATAGTGTTCTCCATGTTGCATCACAAAGATAGCTCGTCAACAGGACCATAAGATGCTGAATCTGATGCCATTGTGTTGCCAAGAGTTAGTGTCTGTATGTTTTTCAAGTGTCTTTGTCATGTCTTTTCAGTAGTTTTATGTATTCTAATGAAGTTAAGGGGACTTTCATGTTTCATAACTTTTAAGGCGTTCCAAATGCATTGAGTTCTCCTGCAGTAGCACACCTTGCAAATTGCAATTATCCATTCCTTTCTAGGAATTCAACAGTATGCTGTATGTATGCGTAATTAGTTTGGTATAAATATGACGATTATTGCAAGCAGCAACCAAGGGATTTAATATCTGAAAACAGATTACTCTGTTTGACTATGCCTTTTGAAACTATGAGTGGTTTAATGGCATTTTGTGCCTGAAATTGACTTTGTTGGCTAAGGTGGTTTGGTTTACTAAGTGAGATGTGAGTTTGGGTATTTCTTGCATTGCAGTTGCATGTGAACTAGTAGGTATTATACTTCGTCTTAATAAAGAGATGTTGAAATATGCTTGGTGGATTGCAGCAATACAAGCCATATGATTGCTAAATACGGGCTGTGTGATGATTCCCATAGATTCTTAATGTAAATTTGATTGTCTAATAACTTTTTCGAGTAACAGAGTATTTCCTAAATTATACTCAGGTGATCATATCTTGTCCGGGAATGTGTTTGAGCCTCGTGCATTGGATGAGCTTCTTCCACAGTGGAAGCAGGAAGATGTATGCCTCTTTGGTTTGAGCTCCTTTCCCTTTGTCTTACGTGAAGGTTTATGTTGCATTTGCTCTTGCATACATCCTGAGTTATGCATGAGATATTCAAACGAGCAATATATGTTCCCTTTTTAACATTTTTGAGACGGATGGCCAATGAATCAAGTAGTTCTTTGAGCATTACATGATATGCATACTTGTTTCAGTTGGTCTTAAGCTTTTCATGGGATTAGCATGAATCATTATGCTTCCTTGATAAGGAAATGCACATTTTAGTTGAATATTTTGTTGGACCTTTCCTTTCTCAAGTATGTTACACTCCTATCTGTGCTTTTTATATCAGACAAGGTGACTTTGTGCCTATTAAATATTCTTGCAGGCACCAGTTCGTGTCCCTGTATCTTCAGATAAATTTTGGTTTCTTACCAAAAATCGTTCTGTATCTCTGCCAAGCCCTTTCAACAATAAAGGGAACTATGTTATAAGGTATGCGCTTCTGCTGGTGATGCTCTTTCGGTTCAATTTGGAAGATTCAGAAACAATTTCTGTCATCTTGAGGATTAGCTTTGATGTGTGTGTGTGTGTGTGTGTGTCTCTCTCTCTATCTCTCTCTCTCTCTCTCTCTCTCTATGTATATATATATATATATATATGTGGAAGAAGACAGTTTTTTCCAAGCTCTTATGCACGTGAAAACAGTTGCTTGTAGATTGTAACTGTAGATACAAAATGTTCATCACGCATTAGCTAGGGTTGTTGATGAACGATTACCAGTATGGATATACTGAGTGGGCTTGTAGACTCCCCTTCTGCATTTCATTGTTGAATACTTAAATTTGGAACTCTGGATAATTCATCAACTTTCCATATTGCTTTGGCAATTTGGTAGACAGGATATTATGTTGGAAAAGAAAAATATATATCATTCAGAGTTAAAATGGAAATGCAATAGATACACAGAAACAAATTGTCGTAGTTCAGTAATGTCTTAATTCACATTGGTTTTCAAGTCACTGGTGGTTCAATGTAAGGAAAATTTTCTGAAATCTCTTCAATGAATGGAACATTTCCAACCACAACCTCCATATTTATATTCGCTACTTTCAACATAGTGTTGTTCAGGATTTTTCCGGGTTTTCCCTAGTCAAAGTTCGTAAACTCTAAGATCCTGACTTATCCTGGAGATCTTCTATATAGCTTCAAATTTTTTTGTGTGTTTTGAAAAATCTAGGACACCTTGGCATGCCCTAATCTAAATTTGATATGTGTAGTTTGAGTCAACTAGTTCGTTGGTTGGGACTGAAGGCTGAAGAATTGGGTGTTGAAATATACCCTGGATTTGCTGCTGCCGAGGTCCCTTGTTAAAATATTTTTTTTTCCTTAAAACACATTTAAGTTTGCTCTTAAATTTGCGCACATTTACTGATTACTTGTAAATGCCAGGTTTTGTATGATAATGACGACAAGGTTATTGGAATTGCTACCAATGATATGGGGGTGGCCAAAAATGGCTCTAAGAAGGATACCTTCCAACCAGGAGTGGAACTAAAGGGCAAGTTTACTTTCACATTTTGTCTAGCTTTTTTCAGTTTAATATCTTCTTGCAAAATATGTTCTAGTAGTGAATCATTTCGTGCATGACGTCTTCTCATTTTAATTTAATTTGTGCTTATATTCAGCAATGAATATATTTATGCTGAATTGTATGGTTTATCCACACTGTGTAAGATATCCATTGATGTGGACTTTGTGAATCTTTTAAAAAGTATCTACAGTATGTGTTGCTCCAAATTTGGTTTTACCGCTTCACGTGGGTTGTTTAAGGACATCCGAAAGGGCCCTATTAAGAATAAATTAAGAATGCTTTCTTTCTTCTTTTTTTTTTTTTTTTTTTTTTTTTGGGAATTAAGGATGCTTTCTAACTTTGTTGCAGGACTTAATTGTGAGTCAACTTTGGGTATTTAGACTTTTAGGGTGTAGATTGAAACAATAGATGAATACATCAATCATTATACTTTGGAAATGATATTGAGATGAAATGATATTGTTTTTCACCCTTGTGTTAAAATTAATTATCTTGTTTCCTCATTTTTGTGTAACACGTACAAAGCTGTGAGACGTATCAAATTTTGAGGTGTTTTGCTGATTACTTTCTGTGGATGACGATACCTTCATCTTTTTGCTTCCCAAGCTTTGCTGATTACTTTGTGTGAATGCTCCTCAGGGAAAATTACTCTTCTTGCTGAGGGATGCCGAGGATCGTTATCAGAGGTTTAAAACTTAATTTTTCTGGGCAAAAGCATGAGTACTTTTTAAATGTACAATAATTAACTGTAGAGTTTCTCTTCAATGTGCAGAATATCATTCGGAAATACAAGTTGCGAAATAAAGGACAGGGACAACATCAGACTTATGCTCTGGGAATTAAAGAGGTAGTCGGCTGGATATTCAACTGGCGTTCTTTCAAGTGTAAAACACTACTGTACAGTTTTCCAACACCAATTTAATACCTTAGATTATGCAAATGCAAACTATGGTGGCCTGTGACATCAATAAAATAATTATTAACCCAGAGCAATTGGTCAAAATAGAAATTTTAAGCTGAAAAATAAAAATCGAAATGTACACAGTTGTTTAATGTTGCCTTGTTTTAACAAAATAAGAACTATTTTTATCAGCTTCTGTAATTCATGTTTTCTGAATAATTGAGGGCAGTACTTACAAAAGATTGCAAAAGTTTTGGATGCTATTATTAATGTAACTGCAGTTTGCGGAAAGATTAAGATTATCCTTGATGAGTCGGATATAATCAGTAATCTTCTCCAATATTACCCTACCATTTCGCATTGCCGGTTTCTATGCTTATGAGTTCAGTGTTGAGGTACTGAACGACATCTCAGATTGATTGGATTCTTTTGCCATAGGTATGGGAAATCAGTAGTGACAAGCACGAGCCTGGTTCAGTGGTTCATACGGTAGGTTGGCCTTTGGACAGTAAGACATATGGGGGATCTTTCTTTTACCATATGGAAGATAGGCAGGTTTGTAACTCTCTCTCTCTCTCTCTCTTCTTCCCCCCCCCCCACATACCCACACAGTTAGACAGTTTGTTGTGGGACCTCCATATTGAAAGTGAAAGGTAAGTATGCAAAGAACAGTACACTTAGTAACTGTACACATTTGATCTTGTAAACTCAATTGGTGATTCTATACTTGTCTAATAAAATGTCAAAGTAGACATTTGTGAGAGAAGTGTTCCGCTTGATATTTGTTGGCAAACAGGAGATGATGAATATTTGAGGCAACTTCTGTCACTCTCTGCATTCTACAGTGATCTTGTTGGTTCTATGTTGGTAAAGTTAAAATGGATTAAAGTATTTGAGGCAACTTCAAGATAACAGTTCACTGCACATAGTTCTATGCACCTTAAAGTATGCACAGCACATTTGTAAAAGTAAGTTTTGTGCAATGGGGCGAGAAGTCTTGCATTCCTTCCAGAGAATTATTAGAGATGGACTATTTCAACCATGACAGAAAGGTGTTGATAGAGTGAATTTGTGATGTTTGAGTTAATAGAAGTTCAAGGTACGACCCGTTTTGCACAAATTTTTAAAAGAGCATTTCAAATGGAGTTACCATGAAATTTTGAGACCAATTTCCATCTTTGGATGCTAGAGTCAAAAGAATAACAAAACATTTTGAATAGGAGACGAAGAGTCTCATCTTCCTGGGTTCTCTTGGAAACTTGTATTGATTAATCACTGAAATTTTGCCTAAGTTTTGTGTTTCCTTTTCTTGGTTGCTCTATCAATCAGCTTTGTTTCTGTAAGGGGAAGGTATTCTGAATTCAGTTTGATTGTTTTGCAGGTTGCTGTTGGCTTGGTTGTTGCTTTGAACTATCAAAATCCTTTCTTGAATCCTTATGAGGAATTTCAGGTTTCTTTTGATGACTCTCAATGTCAACCTTTTCCGTTCAAATCGTTTCTCCCTTTGTTAATCTCCCTTCCTCGGAAGATAGAGCTCTTAACAAATGCTTCCATTCTGATCCTTGCTCTTGATGCTTAAAAAATTAATCTTGTTGTTTATACGTTTTGGTTTGGCAATGATATTTTTGGTGCTGTATGTGAGTTATTTTATTCATTGTCCGCTTGTTCTGTCCCTGAAGTCGCCGACATGGGTGGAATGAGGAGAATTTTTATGTGATCTTTGTATTCAAATACATGACTCACATGTTCTGTCAAAATCTGAGATAAGATGGATTCTGTCCCTTCTTTTAGGGTCTGGACATGATGCATAAGTTGTCCTCGGGCTAAATTAATGTAACAGTTTGGAGGTTACGCTTGGAAAATCCGAGTGTAGCCAAATCTTGTTAGTGTGCCTAAGCTCGAGTGTTTTTTTTCTCAAATCTGAAGACAGTTGAGAATCGGAAATACTATTGTATTCGGCCACTATTGTTTGCTAAAATGTTTCTGATCATTGTATTATCTTACCTTCGGCCATGTTTAGCAAAGTGCAGAGCCAACATTTATGCTCGTCATTCACTGTGTAGCTTTTCCGGTCTATGATTTTTCTAGTCTTTACCCGTTGCCACTGTTATCTTTGCCTATTTGTTCATACACTCATACCCCAGTAGAATGTACACTGGATATTTTGGTGTTCTATTCTAAAATTTCCCTGTTTATAACTTACGAAGTTTCTTCATTTATCAGCTTTACACTCTCTGGCTAAATTCTCTATGCCCCTTGTAGCATTTGCTTATGTAGTCTTATCTAACAAAACTATGAAGAAATTATTTAAGTCACCTTAGCTCTTCTTCTGTACCATATTCTTGAATCAGAAATTTAAACATCATCCAGCCATCAGACATCTTCTTGCGGGAGGAACAGTTCTCCAATATGGTGCTCGCACTTTGAATGAAGGCGGTTTTCAGGTGGGTTACTATGTTTTGCTTCTGTAGTGCTGAATTCCTTGTCATGTGACAAAGTGGTCCCTTGAGCACTTGATGTTACTTCAGAACCACATGGTGGGTATGTCAGCGTAATCAGCTAATTAGCTTGAGAAATGCTTATAAAGGGATTCTTGTGTAATATAATGCTATATTATACAGATTCCAATATGATCTCCGTTAAATTTCAGTCTATTCCATATCCAGTTTTCCCGGGTGGTGCAATTATTGGTTGCTCAGCTGGCTTCTTAAATGTACCGAAAATAAAGGGAACACACACGGCAATGAAGTCAGGTGCCGTGTTCAACTTGAATCTTTTTAAAAATAATGTTTTACCTATTCACTTACAGTTCAGATACTTAAATTGGCGTGCTCAAAATTTGAGACGACAACAATTTGAGCTAGTTTTCAAATTTTTTATAGGAATGCTAGCAGCAGAATCTGCATTTTCCATGCTCCATGATGGCTCTTACATGGAAAACTATTGGGAAAATTTGAGAGGTTCATGGGTTTGGAGTGAACTTTATGCTGCAAGGAATTTCCGGCCTGTGAGTATGATTGTTGGAATTGTTGATTATAAAAGTTCCATTCTAGGTTTTTTTTTTTTTGGTCAGGCTTCCTATATAGTACTCTCTCTGTCAGTCATGGCAGTCCAGATCAACAGGCTTTCATGGGATTATCAAAGGCTAGAGATATCTATGTTGATGTAATTGAAATTGAATGATGAAAACCACCAAATCAAACTTTTTCTTCGTAGTTCTTATTACAAAGTGTGATTGAATGAATACATAATTATTTGTAGTAACTTGTCTTCTCCTCAACTCTACTGAGTCTGTCCTTTTTTTCCAGGCTTTCGAGTTTGGACTGTTTCCTGGCTTAGCTTTGAGTGCTTTGGAGCAGTAAGATGTTTCTTCTTTTAGTTTTATTTTTATTTTTATTTTGTTTATTTATAATTTTATGAATTTTCTTTGTGAATTTGTGCAACAATCTTTGAAGGTTTGTTATTATGGAATAAAATTTACCTTTAATTGCTCTGGCAGCTACATAATGAAAGGAAGATCTCCCTGGACCTTCAAGCATGGAGAGCCTGATCATATGGCTACAAAGGTTAGAAACTTACTCCCACTTAAAAGACATAGATCCTATGTTTTATGCATCAATCTCCATTGGTAGATGAAGCATTATTTAGCAGCTAGAATCCAAGCCTAAGATTTTTGTACAACAGTCCAGAGCGTGTCCACTTTTCAGTGCCACTCAACCTCTAGTAATAATTTCTGAGCACTGAAGATTTAAAATTATTGAATATTTAAAATTATTGTTACTGAATAATCTGACCAGTTTTTATTGCCGAGGATAAAGGCTGAATGATGGTTTTTTTTTGGCTTTGCAATGGGAGAAACACCCCTTGGCTTGAAGCTAGTATCTATTGTTCACGAGAAGAAAAGAAAAAACTAATACTTCCTCTGTCCCAAAATGATTGTCCAGTTTTGATTTTTCACTTTTAGTACATTTGAACTAAAAATGAAAATCAAAACTAGATAATCATTTCGGGACTGAGGGAGTATATCTTTTGAGTTCATTGCATATGCTTTCTGACTAGTCTCCTAAGTATGTCATCCTCCCCCTTTTTTTTTACCTTTTCTATTGAAGAATTATGGCACCATGATATGTGCATCATCCATTACTGTCACATCTGTTAGTTACTTATGACTTATGGGTTATTAAAAATTTCCGCATCATAATAATTTTGTTGCTAATAAGATATACCAGTTTTGCTTCTTTCTTTTTTTTTTCTTTTTCCTTAGATACCATTTTGACTAAATAAATTAATGTCACGTGTCTATTCAACACGACTGCTTGGCATCCAAAAAATTGCTGTCGCTGTGCATTTGTCCATCAAACAGACAACTGAGCCTTCGTTTTTCTCATGGATTGTTTTTCACCTTCGTCTTTAAAAAGTTTTCGATCCTAACAACATTCATTGACATTCATCTTTAAATTTTTAGTATTTGCATTCCCTCTGAGATTTTGCTCACCCGATATATTCAAATTCCCCCCAACACCACCCCCTCCTCGAATACACGTTTTCTCTTCCCTGTTGAAAGACATTCCCTCCAGAATAACCTCCCTTTTCAAATACAGAAAACATCTCTGGAAAAAGAAAACAAACATACCAAATCTTCAAACTTCTTTTATGCTTATATTATTATGAAAGTTGACATTTTTTACTCAGGAAACTGTGTGTTTGCTGGTTTCTGTCACGTGCAGGAAGCTCAAGTTAGCTCTCAAATTGAGTACCCAAAGCCTGATGGTGTTTTATCTTTTGATGTGCCAACTTCTTTGTACAGGTAAAATATCTTTAGCTACAATGAATGCTCTGTGAGAAGCTCTTAATGTCACTGAGCCCCTCAGATCTAGTTTTGTTGAAGTTGAAAACATTGAAAATGTGCGAGTCTTTTAGGTTTTGAATTGGTATGAAACTAGATATGCCTTTAATGCTGGGCTGATCTGTAAAAAATTTTGATTCGGTAAGGTTAGAAAATTTCATCCCCCCAAAAAAACCAAAAATCCAAAAAAAAAAAAACCCCTCTAAGAAACAAAATCCTTGATTCACTGTACGCACAGAGCTGCTGAATTGTATTATGAATAGAACAACTTAAATTCTGGAAGAAACATGTCATATTGTTTTTAATTTGAGGACCCAGTGACTATTCGAAGCTGAGTGCCGAGAAACTTAAACGGAATCACAATCAATGAAAGAACTTTTGCAACGTTTTCTTTCGGTTCTGTCAATCCTTCAATTACCTTCATTTTATTTTTTGTCTTTTTGAAAGTTTGGGTATCTTGTGCTGTAGGAGCAATACAAACCATGATCATGATCAACCAGCGCATCTTAGGCTGAAAGATCCTCAAGTTCCGGAGCAGGTGAATTTGCCAAACTATGCAGGACCTGAGACGAGATATTGTCCAGCACGTGTTTACGAGTATGCTCATCTGACATTGGTTATGTTATGTTTCATTTCTCCCTTGTGGACTATGGTTCTTTAACCTTTGTACCAATGGCGATAGGTATGTTCCCGATGACAAGGGCCAGTTGAAGCTGCTCATAAATGCTCAAAATTGCCTTCATTGCAAGGTATGCAGTTGCTTTGAATTTTAGACAAGATAGCTGATCTTTTGTATTTAGTATCTAATGCAATGATCTAAAAATGTTATTGTGGATCTGAGTTTGTATTTTCTTGCTCGAACTCAAGTGGCATTGCTGTTAAACAAGCAATCATCATTTGTTAAAGTTAGCATTGCATTTTTATGAGTTATTTGTTCGGATTAAAATTGCCCATAGCATGTAGCCTTTAAAGTTCAACACTGGAAGCCTTCTTCCTTCTCTTTAGGATTTCAAACCATGTTTTTCACTTAACCTACTGAGACTTAGTTGACCATGTAAATATTCTATCTTACAAACACAACCTAACCATAAAACTTCAATCTTTAGGGTTTTTCTGTGTACCCTTATTTTTGGTTGTCAAGTAAAGGGACATCGATAAAATAATATCAAAGTGGTACAAAGTAATCGCCAAGCCGTGCCAAATCTTGCAGAACTTGTAGTAGATGTGTTTGGGAATCGATTAATTTTTGTCCCCACGGACGAAGATCTAATCTGCTTTTTATATATGAGTTCAGTGTGATAGTTGCAGTCATTTGCTTCTTAGATTGTGGTGTCTTGCTGCTATGAAAAATGAACGTGTAATTTTAACCCCTTTGTTTCTGTTCCAGGCATGTGACATAAAAGACCCAACACAAAACATAGAATGGACTGTGCCAGAAGGTGGCGGTGGACCTGCTTATACTGTAATGTAACTGGTTTGGTTCTTGTAAAACTGCTGTCTATGTAAATTATACATAATCCCTCCTTTCCATCTTCTCTTTTGAGTTTTGTTAAGGGATGTCTGAATATTATATGCCGAATTCGGCCTCTCTGACTCGGCCATGATTATCATTAGTAAATCTAGTTTATGGTTCATATACATCCTTAGTTGGATCTTCATGGTCTTTATACAGTTCAGTAAAACATCTAAACATCTAAAACAAGTAAGAAATGAAGGTAAAACGTCAATTATGACAAATTGGGAAAACCATGTCAACTGAAAGAATGATTTTTGTACGTGAAGCGAAAACAGAAGAGAGAAGAGATCCTTAAATTTTGAAAAAGAATAAAAATAAATTAGATGGTAAATTGTACAACCCTGATGCTCCCCCATATTCATCATCTCCTATTTTAGGAGCATCGTGGATGATGCAATCATTACTATCCTGAAATCGATACCTGCGGTACTCAGAACCTGTCTAACAACTATCTCACGATTCTTCATTATGGTAGAAAGTTTTTGAATTACAAAAAAAAAAAAAAAAAAGAAAAGAAAAAAAAAATCGATTGAAAGGCTATTGTACATTTTCTGAATGTCTAAAATATTTTTTAATTCTATTTGCTCTTGCAAACACATAAACCAACCACCCGAAGATGGAGATTTGTCAATACTAAGTAATATCATTAGCCTTTGGCTTCTTCAGCCTTGGAAATTCTCTGTATCGATAGCTCGGGATTCGGTACCCTAGAATTCCAGAACAATTGCAGTTTGGGTGGCAAACAGGTACAATCTCATCAATCGAAGCCATGGAGTCTCGTCCATTGACAAATCTGGAAATACAGTTCTCCATGACCAGAGCAACAAACTGCGCTATGTTTGGCAACACAGTTTAATATCACAAGGGTACATCATCTTTGGGTCCAACAGTAAACTTTGCTATGAAAAACCCAATCGTATCAACCGCGGAAGATGGATCAAACCTTTGAACAAGATCTTCTTCACCAAGTTTCAACCATTGCCTGAGACAGATGCATCAAAGTCATCTTAATATCATAATTCACGTAAAACCACAACCATAATTAAGCACTGCTCCAAAAAGAAATACTCCCTCAGTCCCAAAAATTATTGTTCAGTTGAGATTTTCACTTGTAGTTTATGTACTAAAAATGAAAATTCAAATTGGACAATAATTTCGAGACGGAAGGAGTACTATTAAGGAAAAATGTGGGCTTCATCTTAACATACTAACTAACGTTTTGACATTTTGTTCTTCTTGTTGATTATTTATACCATTTTTTCCTTTTGGTTATCATCTATTTGCCATTGGGACTGGCTGGGAAAAGTTAGAGCGGGTAGTTGGTAGGGTTTGAAACTGAGGGTGTCATACTTTTTCTATATGGATATTTTTCCTTCATATTCATTCATATATTAGCCAGACACGTAGTCATGTCACTTAAAGATGAAAAATTCGTATTTAACAAAACTCAATATTAAAAACTGGGATCGGAGTACTTACTCAGAATATCCATCCGACAATTGACAGCTGCCAACTAGGCCAGGGCCCCCAACTTTTGGATGCTGCGATGTGACAAAAAAAAAAAACCAAAACGTTAGTCATTTTTTTTTTCCCATTTTGCACCTCACAACAAGTCATGCTGATTTCGAAGGAATTCCACAAAAGGACTGAATTATAATAGATAATCTAGTTTGCTAAAAGTTTAGCACACTACAAAAAGACCCATACAGTCAATAATGTGCATGATTAAATTGGTTGGCTGTATTCTGAATGACAGAGAGTCGGACATGCACAGCTAGATGTATACAAATACGTAATACGAAAACTGACAACTTCTTGAACATATCATAGATTAACACAAACCTGCGGTGCCAGAGACAGAAACTTGTAAGTGTCTAAAGCATATCGAACCAGACCTTCATTTTCCCCAGGGTTAATGGTACATCTGCGCAGAAAAATTGAGGTTAACGCTCTCCAGAGCATGCCTGAGAAGCATTTAATATCAATGTCCAATATATATAGAACTGCATTGGCCATATTAGCAACAATCCAACAATCAACTGTGGTTAAGAAAACTACTCCAGGCCTTCGGCCTTCCAGATCCATTTGTCGCAATATATGGATCTTGTTTATCAATTCACTTTGGCATTGCAAATGTAGAATTTAGACAAACGGGCTTTGATTTTAAATTTACACAAAACGGGTAATGAATATTAAACATCATAACAATACACTTCCTTCATTGGCACATGCAAGCATATACATACCAAAAACGCATCAGGAAAAGCATATGTATTTGGTTCACAATCAAAGTCTAGGAGTTCTTAAAAACCTATGGAAAACCTTAAAAAGAAATATTTACAGAATCCAGACTGCAAACCAGCACTCATGAGAATTCTTTTGTCCAAACCAGCAAATGCAACTAAGCAAAACAACATCAATTCATGATGCCCGAACAAGAAAAAAGAGAAAAGTGCAAGATAATCATGGTTGGTGCCAAAACCACTGCATCAAATTAGTATAATGCATGTAGGAGTTACATCTTGGGCAGCCATTATGAAATTAATGACTGCAGATTTTCTTTAAATTGCTGCATCTAATTAAGTACAAAGTACATATATCAGAAAAATCAAATTTATTTAAAATCCGGAAAAGGAAGATAAAAGTGAACCTATGCAGAAGGGGAGGGGTTACGGAGGTGGTAAGGGTGGGAGATTATGGCCTCAAGGTCTTGGGTTTGAAGTTAGGGACCACCCAAGAAGCAAAAGGCAAGAGTGAGCCTACACAAGGAAATTACCCCCAAGAATGAGCAGATCCAGATATCATGTTTAGCTCTTTTATATTAGCTACTTTGCACAGGTAATGAAATAGAATAATGTAGGCCAGCACACACATTTTGTCTAAAATCTTTTTCAACAAAAATTGAATCAACAAAGTAAGTATTTCTTTTGTTTTTCTTAAACTATAAAAGGTGGATGCAGCGTAAGGATTTTGAACATCAACTGGCAAGTAAAGACCCAAAACCTCACCAATAAGAAACTGAAATAAGAAGGTTAAAACAATCAAACCCTTGGAGGCAAAGCAAAAGGGAATTTGGGACTATAAACAAGAGGACATGCACATAACACCTTACAAATTGGGTACTTCTTATAGAGATAAAAATATAGGAAAAAGATAGACATTATCCAAATCCACGTGCATGCTTAAAAAGAAACAGAGATTAAAATGATATGAATTTATAAAGATGACAATAGTATTGATCGTACGTGGAATACACAATGACTCCGCCAGGGCGAACTAATTGAACAGCTTGATCAAACATACGTCTCTGGTACTTGGCATGATTCCTTAACGATTCTACAGTTTCCTACAAACCAACTGGTGGTTTTCAGTTTCTTCCAGTGTAACAGTTAATAGGAAACTTCTGCAATTCACAGATAACAAGAAGTATTTCTCTCAATTTATCACCTTACCTCTCCTGCAAATAACCGAGGTCTAAGACCAAGAGCAGAACAGGGAGCATCTAGAAGCACCCGATCAAAGCTATTCAGTAAAAACCCCTGGGACTTTTCTACTCTGCCACCAGAAGTGTGATTCCTTCCAGGCCCATTTTTCTTTTTCCTGATATTCTTTTTCAGCTCTGTTCTGCTACCATTAAGTTGTACAACACTATCTGAAACAAGACATGTATAAAAATGAAAAGGCAGTCCAGAAGTTATAAAAAGCTTCGAAAATAAATGCTCAGATAAGATGAAATATTGACTACTCAGCATGAATAGCAATAATTCTATGTTTGCGCAAGAAACTAGACTGCATTTTAAGGAAGAAGATTAAAAAGAAAAAAAGAGAGCAGAAGCAAGGTCAAGTTGAGAAACAAATAACACTGAAAACAAACAACTTTAACTTTTATGGCAATCTCTAAACTCCAATTCAGCAGAAGACATTTGCATGGAGTTGAAGAAGACACGGGAGACAGATACTGCCAATCTATGTCCCATGGCTACAATTCTATTCAAGTTTAAGCAGGGTGATGGGGACAAGGAATGGTAGAAGAACCCTATCAGTAGGTTCTTTCATATTTATGACCAGGATCATCATGATCCGCGGAGGAAACCAAAGTATGAGACCTTTGGTTAGCTTAATCACTAGTACTTACAATATGCAGGAATATTTTGTTATTGTAGAATAAGGGTACTTCAGTAATTCTGCTAGGTTGCAGGATTTTCCTGGAATACTGGTTCCCCATTATTGGTATTTAGTTTAATTTCCTTATGGATTAAGTTTTAGGTCGTCAAAAGAAATTTAGTTTTAGGAAGCTAATATCTAATTACCTATTTGCTGCTGGTTTAGGCCTATATATATGTACCTCGTTTGAGGGTTTTAGACACTTATGAAATTAATAAAAATTCCTGCAAGCTTTTGCTTTCAACATCAGTTGTGTGACTCAACTAAACCCTTGGTGTGATGCCTAGGATTCCTGCGGTATGACGCCAAAGGGCCCTAAGAGTGATTCTTAGCTTTTCTTCTTTTTCCTACTGTTTTCTTCTCTTTTCCTACTGCTTATCTCTGTGTTCCTGCGATTTCTACCCTTATTCCCAACAGTTTTCTATTGATTTTCTGCTGCATACTACTCTTTAATCAGCCTAAGTTCTGATTTTCTCAACCACCGCGTTTGTGCTGCGTCAATTTGGTATCAGAGCCGAATTTCCTGATGAATTCAGCTTTGAAAAACAAGGTTTAATGTTCTGATTTTCATACATCAGCTTGGCTTCAATTCCTGGTGAGTTTTGAGTTTAAGAAAAGGTTTAAGTTTAGGTATCCACAGAAACTTTGATGCTTTAGAAGCTAGGGTTTTAGAAGCTGACCTCAATGTATACACAACGATTAAGGGATATTATTTTCGAACCCCCTGGGAGGAAGAAAAGGATAAATTCATATGATACAGCCAGTTACTTCAGATTTGATAATCTGAAATTTCATGGTGGAGGTGGTTTTGATGGTTTTGAAGTATTTAGAGCGATACTTTGATAAGCATGACATGACTGATGATAAGAGGAGTGAGATTTGCTATTAGTTGTCTTGTTAGCAATGCTGAAAATTGGTGGAGAGAAGTTGAGCATGATTTGCGACGGCGAGGACAAGGATTGAATATGTCTTGGGAAGAGATGAAACTGCGGTTGCAAAGAAAATACATGTCTCATCCCTATGACGTTGCTAATGTAGAGTAATGGGGAATGACTGTAAGTGCATATAAGAACACATTCATGAACCTAAAAGTTCGCTACAGAGTTTCTGAAACTCAAGAATTAGCCTTGGCTCGATTTAAGCTGGGCTTGAGACCAGAAATTCGAGATGAGATTCTAGGGTATAAAGTACACTCAATTGACGAGGCTTATCAGCTAGCCCTACAAGTCGAGAAAATTCTACAAGAGGAATCTTTTCGTTTGCTGATTACACAAGGAAGGAAGGTATCTCATCTGAAACTTGCTGCCACAAGATGGTTCTCAAACCCTGCCACAGTTGCTGATTCTAAGGCTGAAGAACATTGAGTTGATGAATCAGAAGATGTTAATGAAGAAGTTGAAGAGGATGATGGAGATGATGATTCTGGAGATGTTAGCAAAGCAGTTGAAGAGGATGATAGATCTGATGAATCTATTTCTATCTACTTAGCCAACGTTGATGATAGTGATCTAGACAATGCTACAATAGAAGATGTAGGTGCTCATTGTGACTTGGCGATCACACAACCTGCAGAGTCCAAAGTATTAGATTTTTCTTATGATTTGAGTAGTGTTTCTGAGGAAGACAACACAGCTGATCGGGTTCAGAATTTTGCCGATGCATCTCTAGGAAAGTCTGATGTTGAACTTACTGATCATGCGGTTCAACAAGACAACAATCCTTTGATCTATGTGGTTCAGGAGTTTACTAAGGAGACTATAAATAAAGCTAAGGCTGTTCAGGATTTTAAAGAGGATCATAAAGGAGAAGCCATGAATGTATTGGTGGAAGAAGTAGTTCAAGAAGTTCAGCAAAGTAAGCTTACTGAGAGGGCTGATAAGCCTGAGATTTATCAACTTAATACGTTTGGTAATAAGCCAAAAGAAGTACAACTTCTCAATCTTGGTGAGATTCAAGAGGAAGTAGCTAAAGGAGGAGCCCTACTGAGAAATATTTTGCATCCTAACTGGAGGGAGGTTCTGGTACATGTGAGAAGTCAACTGAATTGATTCATGGAAACCTTGCTACAAGTCCGAATGAAAATTTTGTGAAGTTGAATCAAGTTTTAAAGACAAGCCATTCAAAAGTTTATGATCCTGGAATTCGAAAGTTGATTTCATTTTTGGAGAGGTTTATGACCACAAACCAGCAAGTACATTCCAAATGTCTACTCTTATACCTACATTTGGGCGAAGGAAGTTTTCTCATGCTGAATATGCTGCAGTGCCATGGCTTATGTTTCAGATTGTCAGGTTCTTCATTCTCAGACATTTTAGAACTCGAGGATGAGTTTTTTCGAACCAGGGGAGAATGATGGGGACAAGGAATGGTAGAAGAACCCTATCATTAGGTTCTTTCATATTTATGACCAGGATCATCATGATCCGAAGAAGAAACCAAAGTATGAGACCTTTGGTTAGCTTAATCACTAGTACTTACAATATGCAGGAATATTTTGTTGTTCTAGAATAAGGGTACTTCAGTAATTCTGCTAGGTTGCAGGATTTTCCTGGAGTACTGGTTCCCTATTATTGGTATTTAGTTTAATTTCCTTATGGATTAAGTTTTAGGTCGTCAAAAGAAACTTAGTTTTAGGAAGCTAATATTTAATTACCTATTTGCTGCTGGTTTAGGCCTATATATATGTACCTCGTTTGAGGGTTTTAGACACTTATGAAATTAATAAAAATTCCTGCAAGCTTTTGCTTTCAACATCAGTTGTGTGACTCAACTAAACCCTTGGTGTGATGCCTAGGATTCCTGCGGTGTGACGCCAAAGGGCTCTAAGAGTGATTCTTAGCTTTTCTTCTTTTCCCTACTGTTTTCTTCTCTTTTCCTACTGCTTATCTCTGTGTTCCTGCGATTTCTACCCTTATTCCCTACAGTTTTCTATTGATTTTCTTCTGCATACTACTCTTTAATCAGCCTAAGTTCTGATTTTCTCAACCATCACGTTTGTGCTGCATCACAGGGTCATTTAAAATAACAACACATAAGAACACCATGATAGACAATAAAGCAAGGACCATCTCTGCAACTGAAATTAAACCCATTACAACTTTCAAGTAAACAGTTCCAGGGAAGAAATGAGCAAACATGGGAGTTAGTTCAAAACTTATTCCAGCAGAACTAACCGACACGAACTAAAATCAGAGTGGCAGTGTTTGTGTATTGATCGGCATTAAATTATGTGTAGAAACAAAATGTGCCACTCATAGAAAAGATGAAAACTAACCATAATGGCATTGGGATGTCAACTCGGAATTTAAATTGTCTGAAGCGGCATTTGAAAATGCTTCCGTTTGTGGTGCTGGTGTACCATTTGCAGATCCGACGTTATCCAATATTTGTGAAGTATCAGATTCCTTCCTTCGATAGACAGCTTTTAGTGCATCAAGCTTAAATGATTTGATACATGTCAAGCCCATCTCAGCTGCCAACTTATTAATATCATGTACCTGAAATTTTGAAGGGCTTTCATATTACATGCTAATACAACAATAATCTAAAAGGAAAAAAACTGGAGGAAGTAGTTTAGAGCAAAACTTCATGGTCAACAAAACTCAAGATTTTCCTTCCAACTAAGAGAAAGAATTAGGTTAAGGTACATTAAGTTTTACAACATATGCCAACAGATAAAAACAAATTCACTTTGGTGACAAATCATTCACCAACTAAAACTAAAGACTACTCATCATGGGAGGTGACAATAAGCAAAGGCTCCTTTCTCTGGAGAGTAAAAAGTACAACCTCATCTAAACTCTACTCGATTAAGCAAGCAGCATTTAGTAAACAAGATAAAAATACTTTCAGTGGAATCAACCTACCAATAAGGCATAATATCAGGCTTTCACAGATAAACAAGGCAAAGATATATTCTATCAAAGACAAGGCTTTCAGTAGAATTACCTGCATTAAATTGTTTTCGACAGATTTGGCAAAGACATTTATGCAAAATATTTCTGTCCCTTGTTTACCTAATAAGTCACATTTGTGCAATTATGCGTATATAGAACACGTTAAAAGAAAGTTGTAATCACTTTAAGGTTTTCATGTTATGGTATCGCTTTCACTAAAACTCTATTGAAACTGTATGAGTTTAACAAGTAAATAGATATGTTTTAATGTAAGTATATCAAACAAGAAATAGTTCATTCAACTGCATTCCAAAATCAGTCCCAACTCAGCTCACTTTATGTAAAAACAAAGTTTCAACTTAGAAAACAACTCTCAATAATCAAAGTCTTGAAAAAGATAAAACCATCTTAAGTGCACAAACTAGAAAATTGTGCAAAACTAGATACAACATCTATTAATTTGAGCAATTGAACTAAAAGACCCTTACAAGTTTCACGAAGTTCATATTGATATAACATTTAAATTGCCAAGATCACCTGTCAAGTTAGGATGGTGCACCTTATTGTGTGATCTATCAGTTGCAATAACCTCTCCTTCATCCTTCATGAGAATCGCAATAGCGGTTGTTTTGCCTCCTGGTGCTGCACACATGTCTAATATTCTCTCACCCGGCTGTGGATCTACCAATTAACAAAGGCACGCCATCACACAGAGAGGTAGGGAGGGACACAGAAGAGCGCAATTTTTACGTATCAAAATACTTCAGTATAACAAATGAAATGTCAAAACTGATATGTAACCCAAATATTCCATTTCTTCAGCATCTCATCTACTTTCCCACTCGTTCACTAGAGGTCACTTGACGCTTAAAATTGTCAATGGAAGTTAATAAAACAGAAATTCTTCTTCATTCTTTTTCTCCCCTAACCTAAACAGTACATACATAGCATACAACAGCATCTAAAGATGTTCCTTGAAAAGTTGTGATTCTCATGAAGGATGAAGGAGAGGTTATGGAACCTTTCCGGCTCAGAGAGCAATCAGTATAATTTAATTCTTTCTTTCCTCTACCAGACTTCTGAAGGGTTACAGGTGGCAAATTATTTAAACTTGTTAAATTTTAAAGATCCTTTATCTACTTCATGTCGACTTATTTGTTGTCTATTCGTTCTAGAATCATTAAGAAAAGATAAATAGATTAAACAGAGAAGTCTACCTACAATGTTTCTTATCAGAATCATTACCTTGACTTCTTAAGGGGAAAGAATATTAGAACCAATAACAGGAATTCTTAACCACATTTGGTTAGCGCATTAAACTATTTTTCTTGGGAAGTCAATAAGCAAAAGTATTCCAAGAGCTATCATGGTTGTAGTAAACCTAATGCTGCAACAAAATTCTGGGACCACACAAGCTCTATTCTGGCTCACTTTTTGTTTAAAGATTAGAGAAATGGTCTCAGCTAAGAATTTTACCGAACATCTAGTAGCAGGGTCTAAAGAATCAGGGCCGTTCTTCAACAAGAAGCCTTATTGTTGTCTCTAGGATGCTTCGCTCAGCATCCTAATCACTTCTCTACAATACTAACTCGCTTCTGTATCTATAAAATTTTCCAAACTAAGCCCTAAACAGCTGTATGAAATGCAGTTTTACAGAAACAGAAAAATAAGAAAATAAAATAAAAGATTCCGAGCAGCTCTGTAGCGGTTATGAGCAAGAGGAAAAGAAAACAGCATATTCTAATCAAGAACTATATGTACATAAAAATGAAATGAAACATCACCAATTCCATACTCAAGCAACATCAATGTAAATACACTAACAATTTAACGCAGAAAAAGATATCTGTTTATATGAATTCCCAATTTATCTTTAAGAGAAGTCATCATTTCACACAACGCAAGTATGAGTGTGATGCAATGCATGCTTCTTATTGTGTTTCAAATGTATTACCTATGCATATCTGTTCTGTTAGTTTAGCAACATCAAGAAAAATTGTCTACCAAAATTACAGAACATGAATTAGTTTACATCTAACATCCGTTTGACAAAATAATACTCTAAAACTTACCTAATACGCGTGCAGCAACAATGCTTGGCAGATTCTGAAGAAAAATTTCTCCTTCAAGTAATTCTGAAGTCCAAAGATTGATTAATTTATCAGTAATCAGAACCCCAAAACCAGAATGGTATAACCCAAAAAATAGGCTAACAGAATAACAGAGTCACACCATAAAAAGAAGAAAGTCTAAACACTCTATTAACCATGTCCACAGCAATTCCTTCTGATGCTCGGAAGATTCCTGGTCTGGACAACATGGTAATTCCTTGACCAATATACAAGCCCTTTCTTTCAAAATGATAAGGATCTGCGGAAGAAAGTACAGGACAACATGGTAATTCCTTGACCAATATACAAGCCCTTTCTTTCAAAATGATAAGGATCTGTGGAAGAAAGTAACTCTAAACTGTAAAATTACTCGGACAACTCTATTCATTTTACAAGGAGTAGGAAACAACTAGGTAAATTGTTGGACCAGAATAGCCACCACAAGCACCTTTCGAAGAAGAGAATCTAGCATATAATGGCTATATTCATCTGAAATTGTGCGTGTGAGTCTGCAGGCGTGTCTATATCTATATATAAACGAAGTCTCCCAAGACTTAGCTAAGATGGAAAAATTAATCATTAAGGCTACATGAAGTATACCTAATCAGTCTTCATCATACTCTGATATACCATATTCATTTTGGTTTAAACACAAATGTCTTTGTAAATCTTTTTTTTCCCCCCCAACACTTTTAAGCCTTCCACTTCCCCTTCCCCAGGAATTGAGTTGATGGTTTTCTGTTTTGTGCAAGCCTTATAGGCGCATTTATAAATCTCCTAAACAGACCTCCAAACCTAGCTGAAAAGGAAAAGCACGAAAAAGTTCTGATGTGCCCGATTACCTGCTTTTTCAAAACTAGAAATCACTACAACACATCATTTCTTAACCTAGACAAGGGTAGATCCTAAGAGCATGACCACCAAAAAATCATATAAATACACAATTAATAAAAGATATAGAGATAACAGATCTGGTAGACATAATGAACAAATTAAATATACTATTCTGATTCATCAGAATCTCAAACACAAATGCCATGTTCCCAGACATAAGATGGTTAATGAGCAGGAAATTGTCTTTTTCTCCTAACAGTTTTGTTTAATTACACATCTGGGTCATTTATAAGTCCAAATCGACAGTTATCCAAATTTTGTAATTTCATAAATGTTTCACTCTAGATGCAGGAACAACAAGCTACTATAACTTTCCAACACAACTTCATGAATTAAGAACAAGCTTGTGGCCAGAATATAAGAATTGTACGGGATAATAAAAAGTGATAATTATTGCTTTTCAGACTTTCACATGCAATCAATGTTTTCAAATTCTTCACAACATGATCTGTCCCAGCTCCTAAAGGATTGGAAAGCTTACGAATTCGTTAAAAAAGTGAAATCTACTGGTCATCCAAGTTCAGAAAATTTACAACTCGAAAACAAATGTTATTATTATATGCAATTAGGAGACATAATGTCCAATCTAAAGAAAATGAAGTAAAGGTTACAAGTACAGGCATTTGTGGCATTATGGTTATTCTAGATAAATTTCTTCAGGCTTCCAGACAAACGGAAACAAAAAGTTTCACTGTGAAGTCATTTTCATCACAGGTGTATAAAGGAGAAAAACCAACAAATTCCTTGCCTGATTCTGATCCTTGTAAAACAGTGCCACGTGTTATATTAGCCCCCCATCCACCATCAGTAAGTGGCTGCTCCACAGCAACCGAAACTGCAACTGAATCACCTTTCTCTACATGGGCACTGCACGCCAACACACCAGGTACATACACCTAAAAGAACAATGGGTTATAGAAGAACAACAAAACCACCTAAAAGAACAATGGGTTATAGAAGAACAACAAAACCATGATGTTTTTATCGGCATGTACACATTTTCCAGAACAACACATTTAACCAAGACCACCACAAGCAGTGATCCCATTTCTAAATCAATGTTTGACTTACTTCCAGACAGCTGGTTTACTGCCACTATATTTCTTAAGCTTGACTAAATATAGAAGCCAGAGAACACGAGATATGACGAAGAAGCAAGGACGGAATTAGAAAGGATACCAAGAGAAATCACGCGACTGCTCAAGGTACTCTTTCACATTATGCAGTCCACTAAATCTGTTAGTCTCCACTATTAAATATCAAATCACTCTATTGGATGTAACAAAACTTTAAATACATTTGCCATGGTAAAATTTTACCTGAGCACCGCGAAGAACAGCCTCAGCGCATTTCCGACTAACAATAACCTCCTTGGGAGATTTTCCTCCCTTACACTCATAATTCACAGCATGTGGTCCAGAACCTTTAACCAAAACCACATTATCCAGTCCAGGTATCTGACACTTTGAAACATAATCAGTCTCTAGAAATATCCTTGGAGGCTCAGAGCCATTGCAGACATCCACAGATTCTTTTACGAGTTCTTCTTCACTCTGCAGATTATTTGATCCTCCGGCCATACCTTTTTGCAAGCCTCTTTCTTGTAGAATTGCAATAAGTTTCTCAATGACCAGGCTACTTGTTGATTTCAGCGTATTCACACGTATACAAGAGTAACATGATGGACGTCTGGCAGTGGTTTAAAGAAAGGAATATTAATATCAGCACATGTTGGAAGTAAACGTATAATCTCGCGAACTTCTGAAATTTCCACCGTCAAACAGGACAGAAAGACCAAAACTCCAGAACGACGTTAATTGCAGTTCAATGCAAAACCACAGTGTATATAATCATCGATATCCACAAAGAAAAAAAATAATATCATCAGTCAAACTTCTTAAAACTTGAAAACAAAATTTCCAAGAGGTATTTTCCTCCAATGCTTGTTTTCATTTTAACTCCTCGCAGAACATTCCTCTCTTTAACAACTATATTTGTTCGACCTTAACATTCAGATTTTAGTATCCAAAAATGAGGAAAATCCAGCTACTACATATTCAGCTTTTAAATTCCCAACTAACTAATTCCACCCAAATTCCTACACCTAAAGAAAGTAAGGCCAACGAAAGCACACAAATAGCGAACAACTTAACTGCATTCACTTAGCATCAAATAACAAACTTTTCGAAAACATTTTTTTAAATGCAATCATTCAAGAAGGAATACACAATTATTATTATTATTTTCTATAATTATACAGAAACGAAGGAAGAAGAGGAAATTTACGTGAGGGCATCCGAAATGCGGGAGAAATGCTGTTCGCCGTAAGCTTGGATGAAGTACTCCTCCACCTGAGGATTCCATTTCAGAATTGGCTTGTAACAGTAACGCTCCGTTGGCGAAGAATCCATCTGTTCACAATTACACATTTCACACATTCAGATGAAAGGAGCCACTGCGTGAGTGCGTGAGAGAGAAAGAGTTTGAATACTGGTACTACTAGAAACTACTACTTACATGGATTTGGCGGTGAAGAAGGAGTGAGGTTCTGCTTTGAAGAGTTTTGAGAAAGTGCCGGGCTTTCTTTCTCATTCAGTTCAATTCAATTCTGACCGAGACGGCTCGATTTGGTTTGTACATTTATTTGCTCCCTCCCAAAATTTTCACTTTTAATTCAATTTTTATTTAAATAAAAAGGAAAAATTTGGATTAAGGCCCCGTAAATTAAAAAAAAAAATAATTAAAAAAAGAGGACAACACTCTTAGATAATCCCTTCTACCCTATTAAAGCAGAAGACATGAAGCTTATGTGGTAACTACGTATGCATCTGTTTTGGTTCCAATGCACCATATTTCAGATTTCAGAAGTTTTTTTGCCACGTGTAAGTCTCTTTTAATTAGAAGCTATATAATTTTTTTTAAAAAAAAAAACACATGTTTTACTACAAATAAGGATCAGTTACATTTCAAACGAATGGATATATTAATTCAAATTCAAATGTCCAATCGTATAGTTTTGCAGACTTAATATAAATATACCTAAATCCCTTCTAACCTATTAAAGCAGAAGACATGAAGCTTATGTGGCAACTACGTATGCATCTGTTTTGGTTCCAATGCACCATATTTCAGATTTCAGAAGTTTTTTTGCCACGTGTAAGTCTCTTTTAATTAGAAGCTATATAATTTTTTTAAAAAAAAACACATGTTTTACTACAAATAAGGATCAGTTACATTTCAAACGAATGGATATATTAATTCAAATTCAAATGTCCAATCGTATAGTTTTGCAGACTTAATATAAACAAAAAATAAATATACCTAAATCCAGCAATTAAGAATAATACATTATAAACTAATTATTTATTATTCCCTTATAACCTCATATTTATAGGTATATTTTTTTAAGCCTCAAACCATAGCATAAATGATATATACGCCAAATTAATTCCTCAAAAAATAGTAATTCAATTTACCCTATTAAAGCAGAAGCTTGCATCTGTTTTGGCTCCAATGCACCATATTTCAGATTTCAGAAATTTTTTTGCCATGTGTAAGTCTCTTTTATTTAGAAGCTATATAATTTTTTTTTTAAAAAAAAATACATGTTTTACTACAAATAAGGATCAGTTACATTTCAAACGAATGGATATATTAATTCAAATTCAAATGTCCAATCGTATAGTTTTGCAGGCTTAATATAAACAAAAAATAAAAATACCTAAATCCAGCAATTAAGAATAATGCCTTATAAACTAATTATTTATTATTCGCTTATAACCTCAGATTTATAGGTATATTTTTTTAAGCCCCAAACCATAGCATAAATGATATATACGCCAAATTAATTCCTCAAAAAATAGTAATTCAATTAGATTTTAATAAAATAATAATTTAGAGGGAGCGCCCGGGCATCTGTCCGGGCCAAGCATCTAGTTTCTATTAAGGGAATAATCATTTAACATTGCAAACATGACTCTAACTCTTGAAATCAAATTTTTTTCCTTTCATTTGATTTTACCACATAAATTAAAATTGTTTCCAAAGTGTATAAATGATAATATTTCAATAGTAAATATGAAAATAATGTAAATATGTTGAATTTAAAAGTAAATATTAATATTTCATAAACTTTATTAGGTGGTTTTATTTTTTCCATATAATGTTTTTTTTATTAAAGTAAATATTTTTTTGCTTTCACATGAATCAAAATTGTCTAAATTCTTCTTCCAAAACCTTATATTTAAATGAGCCATACAAGATATTTTCTAACACTTAAATTAATATTACTTCTTCAAAAAAAAATTAATATCATATAATTTATACAAGTAAAATTTTAAATTTAATAATATCAAAATTTATTATGTTTAAATTTTTTTAATCAAAACTACTTCATTATTCTTATACTAATCAGGCTTACGAAAAGATAAATTAATAAAATTTCAAAGTCATTAAATTGATATTAATAAGTTTTTTAATGTATAAAGCCATGTTTGTATGGTTGAATTGTTATGTCCCTAATATAAATTATTCAAAAGTATTGCCCTCTTTATTAATTATTTGTCTTCCACCGTCCTTTATCCAGATTTTTCCAAATAAAAATCCAAACTAAATAATAATTAGGGACCAAGGGAGTATTAGTTTATGGACAAAACTCATTTCTACCACTAATATTAGGTATAATTTCACACCAAATCAACATACTATATATATAACCTAATTTGACCACTATTAAGTTTTGATTCAGCATTTGGTGTTTTCGGTGTTTTCGTTAGGACAAAATAGTAAACTAACATAACATTATCTATATAGCCTAATAAAGATAAAAGTTTGGGCAGCCAAAAAAATATATATAATTGGTCGGGCAATAAAATTCCTAAGGGCGTCTCTGAAGCGTCCCTTAAACTGAGTAGATGCGTTGAATTTGGCAAAGCAGGAGCCCACTCCGCCATGTTCCAGCCCGCTCCTTCAAAGGGCTCCACTACTCTTCGAAGGTAGCGGAGCACTGATCACCCACTTGAAAGCGGGTGGACCTTTTTCTTTTTTCTTTTTTTTCTTATAAAAACTTTTAGGCTGAAATTAATAGAATTTTGGGCTTTTTTATTTCTTTGGGCCAATTTAAAGCATTTTAGATTACTTTTACTAACTCCTTTTAATTTAGTTCATCTTGGGCCTAGTTAAGTAGTGATCTGTTTAATTATTATAAATTAATTACATACACATTTTGTTTTTAACTAATGTTTAAGTAGTGAAACTAAAGTTAATAATCATACTACATAGTTTAATGAGTAAATATAATATATGGTTGTCTCTTTTTTTTAGTGTTTGTAATGTTTTCAATGTTGCATTTGTAATGTCTTTTTAATGATTTAAATGTAATATTAGTAATGTTATTTTACTATCAATCGAACCAAATGTTTATGCTATTTTACAATTTGTAATTTATTTAATTAATAAAATATAATGTGAAAATAATTTTATTTGTCAAGGCAAATCCACTCATGAACTCCTGATTTCGCAACCGAGCTTGTCACCCCGGGCTTGCCTAGGGTGGTTTATCTCTCACTGTGGTTTGTAGACTATTGCATTGGATGTGGGTTTATCCATCTCTGGTGGGATTCCCACCATCACCTAAATATATATATATATATATATTAGCGTAAATTAATTAAGTATTTTGCTATTTTAGTTAAATAATTAATATTACTAATCATTATTTAATTTAACAATCATATTCGTAATTTTAAATTTTCATAAATGTAAATTATTTTAGTAATAGAATATTGTAAAATACAAATTTCATAAATTAATCACATAATAAAATAATATATAAAAAATATACTTAGAATATTCCTTTTAGAGGGATCTTATAGAGGGGATGAGTTGAAGATACTGACATTGTTTAAACTGTAAAAGTAGTGGGATTTTACTGTTGTGACTCTAAATATAGAGTTTAGAGGAGTAAATAAAAATACATATTTTGTACAAAAAAAAATATTACGACACTAATTATTACAAATGCATATTTTGTACAAAAAAAAAACATTACAACACTAATTATTACTATGAGAATATTGTTCCTACATATGCTTAACAAAGCATAACGAAGTTCAAAGTGTGCGTTCCTTTTCCTGATTTTTCTGTGTCGTGTGAGAAACTGTTCAAAGTGGTCTCCCTCATGAGGCATTAGCGTAACACTTGAAGCAGAAAATTCCACATTATATTTAATTGGTGCATTGAGATCACGTTTATCTTCAATAATCATATTGTGCAAAATAATGCATGTCTTCATTATATTATAAAGCACTTTTTTTCCATAAATGGACGGGGCCCGCAACAATAGTGAATCGTCTTTGCATGATAGTAGTTAGTATCGTGATACGGATACATATCAAATGATACGTATCAAAGTCAAAAAACTTAGTATGTATCATAATGTGTATCACAATTGTTTGTGTATCAGTCAATTACCGATATGTATCATATGATATAGACAAAATTTTGTATCGTACGATACAAAACATAGGAAAAATGATTTATTTTCTTAAAATAATTTTAATTATTGTTTCATTATGACCATTTAAATTTCAAATTAAGAATAAAATTTATTAACAAGTTCGTTTTACATAGATGCTTTTGATTTATTTTTTTTACAAATATAATCTTTCTCAATTGAAGATAAAATCGCTGTATAAATCATTCTAGTTCAAAAAAAAAAGGTTAAAAATATTAATGTATTCATAGTGACATTTTCTAAACAAGTATGTGTTTATATTAAATTTCTCACTTATAATTTGTGGCTATAATAACAACTATTATGGAAAAATAATATTTGTTACATAGATTTTACGATAATTATTAATGTAATTAACGAGCAATTTATATAACTTTCAATTAATCTTTAATTCAATTTAATAAATTTATTTAACCAAAGTGGGGTGGAGTGGAAGGGACTCCTCCACCCTTAACCATAGATCGAGAGTTCGAACCTCACTATGGGCATGGAGTAACCTTAAATACTTTGGCCAATTGTCCCACTCATCGAGGTGCCTACAATTCAGCGAGGGGGATTAGTCACTGTTGCCGACGGTGGATATCCTGCAAATATGCAAAAAAAAAACTTAATAAATTTATTTATTTATAACTGAAAAATAAATAATATATATAAATATATCGATTACATATGGAATTTATGATATTTATTATTTATTTTATACATATTATTATTAAGACGTCTCACGATTTAGGTTTCTGAATTTAGGTTTCTGATACATGATACGTATCACGATTTGATAACTATGCACCAACATCTTTTCTACATGCCTGTTGTCTCATTTTAAAGTATCGTTGCATGGGATTAGCTTGCAAATGACTGTACTATAGTGGACCATTTGGGATATATACCATCCACAAAGTAATACCCAATTTCATATTGTTTGCCTCGAATAGTGTAATTAGTCAAAGAAGTAGTACCTTCAGTAAGATTAGACATTAGATGTGATGGTTCTAACATATTAATATCATTGTTGTTACCTGACATACTAAAATATTCGTGACATATCCAAAGATCACAATCCGCTACAGTTCCAAAATGATAGCCCATGCGGTAGGGCATTTATCCCATTCCAGTGCATACAGTCAATGCTACCCAACATACCTGGAAAACCACGTTGTTCTCC